GACATATAAGAGGTACAATGCGACGCGACCGTTTAGGGCTTGCCAACCAATATCTTGTTTTGTGGTTTGCGGTTTGCGCCAAGCACGAATTTCTTTAGGGTTGAGGGTTAGCCAACATCCCTGTTTGAGGTTCAGGTCTCGGTGCATTGGCACAGTGCGAGAGTGTATGGTGTAATGCGACGCTGCGGTTTGGGGTTTGCCAAGCAATTTGTTGTTTTGTGGTACGGGGTTTGCACCAACCACGATTGTCTTTCAACATGTCTTCCCAGCATTCGAGTTTGCCACGAGACTCATAGTGCAAAGCTGCCGCTAATGGTTTGCCAACTAACATCCTCTTCTTTTAGGACTCGGGCGTTGCCTGCGACGAGCTTCGTTTAGGGTTGAAGGTTTGTCAGCATCCCTATTGAAGCTTTCGGATATGCCAGCCAACGTTTCCTTGTAGGGCTTACGGCCACCAGCATCGTCTGTTAGGGCTCGGCGGTTTTGCCAGCCGACATCTGCGTTTGGATTCGGGTTATCAAAATATAGCATCTCCTGATCAGGAAAGGAGGGTTTGCCATCCAATATCGAGCAACATATTGTGTAGGGTTTGCCAATCAACACCTTCTTTCAGGCGTTGGGGATTGGCTTGCCCACTTTCTCATCTGCTTCTAGAGTTTCGGGTTTGCTCACACCAACATCTCCTTTTCGGTTTAGTGTGTCTGCCAGCCTGCATCCCGTCTCCTCACAGGGTTATGGGTTTGCCACTCAGCATTGATGATCGCCATAAAGTCTTAGCGGTGTAATCCGATGCTACCGTCTAGTGTTTGCAAATCAACATCTGGTTTCTGCTTTGGGGTTTGCGCCAATTGCGATTTTCTTTTAAGAGTGCATGCCAACCACCTCGGTTTTTGGGGTTTTGGGCCTTGCCAGCCAACATGTGTGCTTGGCGTTCGGGTTTGCCAAGCAACCATCGCGAGGAGGGTTTGCCTCCTAACGTTGAGGGCTTGCTACGCAACATAATTGGTACAGTTCACCATTTAGCAGTCACCTTCTTCTTTCAGGCTTTGGGATTGGGTTGCCCATGGTGTCGTCTGCTTTTCGGGTTTCGGGTTTGCCAACCAACATCTTGTTTTTGGTTTGGGGTTGCCAGCCACGGTTTTCCTTTGTCCAATCTCGCATAGTGTTCTTTCCTGAATGGCCGCAGGATGTGCTGTGCGACACGTCAAGACTTGTGTGCCAACTTAGCCCGAATTCGCCCGAATTCTCATTAGCGGTGCAGCGCCGAAACTAAGGTCTGGCTCGTCACTGGACCGATACCTTCAGTTCTCTGTCATTAGAATGAATAGAGAGGGGTACTTCCCAGACCTGTTTTGTATGCTCTGCAGGACAGAGGTCGAGGTCTGTTCGGACAATTCACCTGTGGAGCTGGTCGCGAGCTGAGTCTCATCTATAGCCGCAGCTTGTTGATGGATGCATGGAAGGGTACCAGTCTTTCAATTTCCTTTCAGACAGTCGGCGGTTTAGGAAGGGGAGTGATGCAGAGCGAGTTGTGCGCAAAGGTGGACGGAGGAGAATTCCTTTGATGAAACCCATGTCGTAAAGAATACAGGGGCTCTCTGGCCATGTTGCAGCATCTTCCAGCTAAACGTCCTTGCTACGGCTAGCTTGTGACCCGTGGCCTGACATGCTTTTGCAAGCTCCAGAGAAACGAAGAGTTTCAGTTTAGCATTCAAGGCATTGGCACAGATGCCATAGCTGTCTGCTTCAGAGCCGGGCCAGAATCTGTGTTCATGGACAGCAAGTCGTTGTCTGGGCCCTTTCGCTCTCTCTCTGTCTCTCTGTGTCTCTGTCTTTCTGTCTCTCTGTCTCTCTGTCTCTCTGTCTCTCTGTCTCTCTCTCTCTTCTTCATGCTCTTGTTCTCCTTCCCTCCCTGGGGCAGAGTTGAGGTCCTTTCTCCTGGTGTTGGCGCCGCTCTGGACTCAGATGGCTTGGGCAGCAGAGCAGCGTTCCTGATGCGGATTGCTTTTCAGGTGCTTCAAGGAGGCATCAGCGGTGCACAGGCTGTGCGGTCCTTGTGTTCCTGTTCAGATCTTGGGGGGTATCACTGCTTGGAATAAGGTAAAGCCTGGCACATGGCCGGTGGGTTCTTTGGCAGGGGACCAGCAGTGCTTGGGCCCCTGTGTTGTCAGGTCACAGCCTTATGGGAGATGCAGTTGCGCGGAGTGCTCTCAGGCACGGACTGCTACCCTGCCGCGCCAGTTCGATCGGTGGCTGCCGCCCCAGCACTGCACGCTGGAGGGCAAACAGTGAGAAAGCGCCAACGGCGATGAGCCGCCGCAGAAAGTTGGAAGCAACAGATCGAGTGCTCAGTGCTCTGAGGTACTCGCTGCACCTGAGCGCCCCGACAGAGAAGATCTACCGAAGTATGCTGGAACCTCAGGTAACAGGCATCGCATAGTGGAGTGTGTAGCTGGGAGCTGGACCCGCATCCGAGCTGTTCAGGACCGAGCTGCTCTACTGGACGTGGCTGATGGCAAGGCTCTTCTTTCGTCTGCGCTGACCACGTCGGAGACCGAGACCGCGACAGGTGACGCTGACCCAGGGTGACGGAGTCGTGGCACGGGACCTCAGAGGACCCACCGACAGCAGGAACCGGGGACCACCCTGGTGCAATGCGTGTCTCGAGGCGCGATTGCAGCTGGGCGGCGCGGCCTGGTTGGTGACGCCTCTGCGAAGGCAAATGGTGTGTGCACCCATGTCAAAACACAATAGCTTGTCTTCCAAGTCCAAGCTACTACTCATAGTGTGTGACTGCCTTCAACGTGGAGCCTCTGCATCTCTGCCACCTCGGCCAGGCTTTCTCTGGATCCAGATTTGCAGGCTCCCGAAGTTCAAGTCGGCTACAGGAGGCGGGACGGCGGGACGGCGGGACGACGTCTGCAAGTCCTTCGTAACGGTGCAGGAATACAGTGAGGCCGAGGTTAGGGCTTCGGTTCCGTGCAGGTCGGGGAATGTGGTCTTTTTGGACGGGGTACTTCCCGGCATCAACTTCTCGCAGGCTCGAGTGACACGAAGGGGGGCGCATGTGCCAGAAACCCGTGTGAGGAGGACAAGGTTGTTTGCACGCTTCCGCAAGGTTGCCGGGGCTCAGTTTTCAGAGGTGTGTGTCGATTCTGCTTCTGCCCATGCCCTGAAACAAGGCCGTCCGAGAGGAGGGCGACGAGCTTATCTGTCGGTCTGCTTCGAACAAGGCGTCCGGAGTGGGTTGTAACTGAATGTGTGCCCCACGGCGTGACTCTTCGAACGCTTGCAGAGGCTACATTTGCTTCCTTCGGATCCTCCTAGATGCGGGCGGCTTTGTCTCCGTGTGTCGGAGCCATTTGCAGGCTGTTGTGGGCACGTGCGCTTTTTTACGGCTTGACCTGCACAGAGAGCTCGTTGCAAGATGCAAGCCACAAGCGAATGTTGCAGGGCCGAGCTCGCGATGGACATTCCTACGATGTCCCGACGCTCAGATTCCGAGCGCATGGGGCTACGGTACGAAGAGAACACACACACACACACACAATTGGGCCAGTTGATAAGGTCCAGCATCGCAATCTGGGTGCTGTTGAGGCATCTCTTTCGCAGCGATCCTAGGCAAAGCCAGCAGGCAGCACATTCTGTTCCAGTTCAATTGTGCCACTGAAGCCGAGGTCAGTACGCTTCCTCCTGACGTCAAAAGCTGAGTGCTTCGATCGGATTGTTCGTGTGAGCTCTGAGCAGCAGTCGGAGGCCCGGTACGCCTCTCGAGCTTCTGGCGGGTGCGAAGCCGCCAAAGCAGTCGAAGACCGAGTGTCGACTTGGCGGCTGGCCTTGTTTTTCCCCACGTTTGTGGCTGTCGTGGACAAGGCATGCTGCCCGGAAGCAGCTTGCTTATCTGGGTCTCCAGGACAACCTTGTCGTATCGTCATGCGACGGCTGCCGCGATGTGCTCCGCGATGTGCAGCTTTGCAGGATGGCCCAGCATCGGCAGAGCCTGCCGAAAGTGGAAGAGGCCCCCCGGTGTTGCGCCTACAAGCCTGTCTGCTGCAAACACCGGGAAGGAGGGTCCATCGACGAATTGGACGGTTTCCAGGCTGTGCCACCTGCCATGCTCCTTCCTCCTTCCTTTTCTTTCCAGTTCTGCTCTGCTCTCCCTAATTCTGTCTGTCTCTCTGCAGCTCTCTCCCCTAGCCAATTCCTGCACTGTCTCGCTCTTGCTGCTCTTGTGCTTTTCCCTCCCTCCCTCTCTCCATCCCATCCCTGCCGCTCCCTCCATGCCTTCATCCATCCCTTGCTGCAGCTCTCTTTTGTTGTCACAGGCTGCTTGAGCGTATGCTTCGCAGCCTTTTCCAAGGCAACGTAGCCAGTCAGCAGCTGCACTACTCCAAGCGACGTACACAGCACAAGCAACTCCTTCCGTCAGCGACGAGCTGGTTTCGACTGTACAACTCTTGATTTGCTGATGTTTAGTGCAGTGCTTTCTTTCCTCCGAGCCCCGACAAATGAGCATTTTCGTCCGTGAAATGTAGCATGGAGCGTAGATCATGTGGCGCTGGCCTCCTTGACCTCGGCGCAGGCTGCTCGGTTTCGGTGTGCAGGCAACAGTTGTGAAAGGGAAAAGTCTCGAGTACCACGAGATTGCTGAACACATCATCTGGCACCGAGAACATTTCCATGTCTGTCGTGTTGGAAAGCCGAGGTATGTCGTGGTGACAGGAATGGCCGAGGATGCTGGCAACAAGTCTGCAGATCTCCCAGGGGTTCGACCATCAGGCAGGACGAACGAGTGCCAGCTGATTGTGATCGTGATACGGCTTGAGGCAGCTCGTCTCTAGCGGCATTTGATTGTTTTGTGTCGATAGCCTGTTGGCTAGACGAGGGTCTCAGCCGTACAGGTTGATTGGATCTTACTGCCTTGATCGCTGTTCTTTGGCTACTTGCAGGTGCGAATGGTTTTTCAAGCGTGCTGCGCGACCCTCAGCCACGCACGCGACATGGGTTGGTCACTGAGGAGCTGTACTGCTCCTGTCTTGTCATCTTGTCACTTGACAACGAGGGTTGGCCAAAGTCAGCTGGAAGGGCTGCCGATTTTTGCTCATCGCGAGGCCTGGGTTTCCCATAGTGACGTAGTGACGTTTGGTCCTTCGGAGAAAGACCAGTGCTGGAGTTGCAGCAAGACGATGCTGTCAGACATTTCTGACCGAGTTCTGCATTTATAAACTGATCCACCTGTGGCGAGGTTTTTAGTTGTGCTTTAGAACGGCGCAAATATCGTAATCTGTAGATGCTGTTAATGCTATAAGCCTTACAGTGCTGGCGCGAAGGCAATCTTGGACCATGTGCGCACCTACCGGGTGACACACATTCAAGGTGAGACTGGATGTGGCAAAAGCACCCAGGCGCGTTCGGGAGCCTGGTGTTGTGTGGCGGATGTGACATGGCGGCAGGTTCCCAAGTACGTCATGGAGGATGCGATAAAGCACGGGGAGGACCCGAAGATCGTCGTCACGCAGTCGGAGCCTCTTAGTACGCTCCGCTGGGCCTCTGGGCCTCTGGGCCTCCGCAGCTCTCTGAGGCCCCGGCGCATGGCCGCTGTGAGCCTTGCCCGTCGCTGTGCAGCCGAGCTCGGTGAGGCCAGTAGCAGTAAGGAGTAATGAGTTTCAGAAGAGGACGTTTCAAGAACCATGCGCCAAGTTTTCGAGGAGCTTGGGAAGACCGTCGGGTACAAGATCAGCACCTTTGCTTCGTCTTGGTAGTATTGTTGTCGGCGGGGTGGGCACAAGACTCGGAAGAATTAGCAACATGAAAGTTACGCCTGAGGTGGTGATTCCGTCAGTGGGAAGCTCTGCTTCGCAACAACGGGCTTTCTCCTGCAGGTGCTCGTCAACCAGCCGGAAGAGTCACTGGGACCACGAGGAGGGGTGCAATTTGTTTGTAATGGTGCTTTGCGCACCTTAAGCTGTCAGCGCTTGGAAAGCAGTGAGCAGAAAAGTAATGCAAGTGCTGCCATCGATTTTCGACTAACCGTGCTCAGCTGGTGCTGTAAGGTTTGGCACCTACAGCCACATCATCCTCGATGAAGTGCATGAACGAAGTGTCGATGCTGACTTACTGACGATGTTGCTCCTAGGCGAATCTTTCCGGTAGTACTACCGGACCGGGATTTTGGCCCTTGACCCCCTGTGAAAAAATGCCATGCGAGGCTGAGGCTGCTGATGCAGTGCTACAGCAAGGTCGCCACGAGCATGTTTTTAGATTTCTGGAGGAAGAAGTGGGGTCAGAGAAAGGGGACAGTTCAGAGTTCCGGCGATTTCCGTCGCACGAGGTGAAGCTCATCGTGATGAGTGCGACGCTGCAAGCCGAAGTCTTTGCGCGCTACTTCGCCTCTCTGGAGGGAAGACGCCTGGAGGCAAAATCGTCGGTTGCCGACTGCTCACTGCTGACCAAACCTGTCCCTGATTTGGGTGTGGCCAAGGATACTTGGACCAAGGCCCTGGGGAAGCTCTTCCGGTGAACCTCGGCTTGCCTCGGTAATCGGGCAGAAGGACGAAATTGCAAATGGCACGGCGTGTTTCTAAGCATGGAGACCAGGACGACTGCCTCCCCTGCGACATTGCAGAGAGTTAAGCTGTCCATTTTTTCGGTGGATCTTTGTCGTATGGACCTTTCTGTGGTGTTTCGGGTCAAAGAAACTGATTGCCGCTGGTGCTGATATCCGGCAACAATGGCTGACAACTGTCCCGCACAACCAGCACCTCAGCAGAGTCACTGTAATCAGGCTCTGTTGTCAAGCATGTCAGACAGTCCCGAATGTGAAACCTGAAGACACATGCGGCAGTGCTCACAGGCGCTTGCCAAGACAAGCAACTGCCAGCACAAGTACGCTGTGGAAGTGCACCACAACCACTACCGCCGGTAGCTTCGGACTACGCCTCCTGCATTGACATGTAGGCAAAAAGCCGTACTCACCGCTTTGCACTTTTAGGGTTTGGAGCTTTTCGGTTTTACGCTTTCGGATTTAGGGTTGGCACCAGAACGATGACTCATACGGCAGGGACTCTGAGGGCCGGGACGAGACGATAGTCCAGTGTGTTGGCATGAAAGAGATTCGGGCCTGGATGTGGCAATACTGCGACCTCCGCTGTGTACAGGGGCCATTGAACGAGGACTACTAGTGACTACACAAAAAGACATAATGCCGATCTGCACATCAGGCCCCCTTCGGAGAAACAAAAGAACAGGGAATGCTGACGAATGTGAAAGCCATACCAACTAAACAAGCAGCTTGGAAGCGGCAAAATCAGAACCACTATAGAGAAGCTGTTTATTCGAGCTTTGCCAGAGAGCCCGCAGCACCGAGGTAAGCTTCCGAATTCAGGGTAAATACTCATAATATTCGTAGAGAAGCCAGTAGTTCGGCTCCCCAAACCGACAAGCCTCTGCGGGCGGCATTCCCACCAAAATTCAACAACAAGAGCAGTGATTTCATCTGCTACTCCTTTACTTGCTGCCCTTCTTGCTGCAACCAGTACTGGCAATAGTGAAAAATTGACAGTACTGGGCAGTAGACGATCAGAGCCATGACTCAGCATCATGGACACTAGACAATTAAACAACAAGCTCAGCAATAACTTCGCAACCAAGGCAACTGCAGCAGTGATTTTAGTCATAATGGTCATCTCCACGGCTGTAGCCACCGCTACAGGTGCTCGTGCCAGAAGTACTACCTGGTGCTGGGTAGTAGTAGCAGCAGGAGTATTGTTATGAGTTATGATCATGACCATTGTTAGTAGCAGGAGTAGGAGTAGAAGTAGGATAGGAGCAGCATGAAGAAGGTGGCATGAAGCAGAGCTTGATAACTGAAGCAAGCGCAGTGTGGAACCGGACACCAGCGATCCATTCTGTAGTCTGAAGCTCGCGTGAGCAACCTCAGGAAGCCCCTGTTTGTCGGCGTTCGAAGCTTGACTCGGTTCATGAGTGCTGAACGTTGAGCGAAGGTTGCGGATAGCTCAAGCCTTTTTGATGAGGAACTTTTCCCGTGGATGTCATCTTCCTTGACGAACTCGAGGCAGCGGCTCTGTGCACGGGGGAAGAAGTCGCGTAAGACTGGGCTGTTCAGGTGGTGGATCTTCTCGAGAAATCCGAATCTCTTGAGTTGAGTTAGACTCCTCAGGCACATTTTCAGATCGCCGGTGGCCAAGCGCGTCGGCGGCTGAGAATTACGGCACTGGGCACAGACGGGCAGTTTCATCATGTGGACCTGAGGTCATGGACTTGAGATCGCCCTGGAAGGCTTCAGCAAGGGCGGCAAGGCTAAGGCCATTCTCCACGCGTTTTACCTGGGCGCAGGCAGTTGCAAACCGCTCGCATATCGGGGCCAGGGGAAGAGCAAGGGAAAGAAAGGCGATCGTGGCGTGGAGCTGAGATAAGCCGAGATAAGCTCAGGGGGCAGAGCTCAGCCGACTGCAAGGCATTGACGGAGCGGCTTCGGGCTTCCTGCGCTCGGAGCCGAAGCTGGTGGAGGGCTTGGACTGGGTCTGCAAGGCGCCGGCCATTGGCAGATGCTAGGCGTTTCCTTCGACCTCCCGTTGCCAGGAGCTTGTACAGCAGATGGCCCAGGACAAGTGCACGTTGCTGGGCAGACACCGGACGAATGTGCGGAGCGCGGCCAAGAATGCAGCGCTTTTGGACAGGTTAGTGGTCTTCTTGCCGGGCATCGCCGACATCACAGCCTTCTACGAGACTCTCTCTCCCTTGGAGTCTCGCGAGCAAGGCAGAGGTTTGGCCTTGAGGCGGGAAAGAATAAAAAGGAGCGTCGCAGACATGCCCTGCCTTGTGTCTTCTGTAGGATCTTCGCCATGCATTCAATGATACCTCGGGAGGCTCGTTGAGGGATCGGACCCTCGCTCCCGTTCGTGCATGGCGCATGTGCCAGGAGCAAGAGGAAGTTTTCCGACCTCCGCCAGCCGGCACATGCCACGTCGTGCTTGCTTCCAATGTGGCGGAGAGTTCCCTGACACTGCCACTTCGTCCGAAATCAAGCATCATCCGAGAGCGCGGCCGAGGATGCCTCAAAGGCCCAGCTGCTGCAACACAGCACTGAGGCCGTCCGTGTCCGGTGTCATTGACATGTCACTGCGACGATCGCTCGAATATGATCCCCGCAGGCCTGGTGGGAATGCCTTTTCATCCTTGCATGAGCTGGCTGTGCTCAGGGTTTGGTGGAGCGGCGTGAGATTTCTTTTTGAAAAGTTGGAAGTGCCTAGTTGAGGTGTCCGATGCGTTGTTATTCTTACCTTGCAAAGACTGAAAAGCCCCCCATGACCCGCATCAACGGTTCCGAAATTTTTGTTTCATGGTTATGAACTAAGTGGTTACTGGCTCCGGTGGTGCGGGCTCCTTCTGCTGAACTCCAGCTCAAACGTGCTGTAGCAACAGCACAGAGTGGCTTCACCGTTTCTGTCTTCAGTCTAGCTCGGCTTCCCTTCGATTGTTAAAACACGTCAGTCTTGAGAAGTGGAACGGTGCTGCCAGCTCCAGGGCATTACCAGCTTTAGGGTTCAGGTTTCGGAACTCAGGATTGTGATCCTGTGACAGTGGTCTCCAGCTGGCCCAGTGTCCAGCAACATGCCATGTCTGAACCCTTAAAAGCATCTTCAGCTGCTTTGGAGGCTTATCTCTTGCTTGGTCACCACATGGTGTTCCCAGTCTAGCTGCAAGCAGCGCTCTGGACGCGCTGGGCGCACCATGCCAGGTCGTGCGGTGCGCAGCCAGGCAGAAAGCTACGTGCAAGGGCCAAGGGCACTTGGAGGTTCATGGATCATTATACATATTATAAGTAGGGTTATAAGTAGGGTAACTATACTTATAACCCATATTAGGGGTCTTATAACCCCACTTATAGCTACCCACGAACCTCCAAGCACCTCTCGGTCATTCGTGTAAACGGAGTGCTGCTCAGGCATGGTGACACGCGCCTTCTTCGAGGATGAAGCTCGCCTGACCGGTGCAACGAACAGCCCGTGCGTTTTGCTTCTGCTTTTGCTGCTTCGTCCCTTTATCCCAGATCCGTCTCACTAGTCATCTTTCTCGAACAAGCCCGGATGCCCGAAACGGAGTTTCCAGAGCTCGCTGCCAAGGAGATGATCGAGTTCGACCCGCCAGACATGCTCAGTGCTCCCTTAACGAAGCTGTTCCTTCAGGCGAAGCAACTCTGTATAAAGCTTAAGCACATCCAACAGAAGGGCATCATTCCCAAAGGGCGCCTTGGCGAAGTGCTTGACTGCAGATTTTGGGGTTCGAGTTCGGGCCTCTTCGGGGCTAGGGTCTCTCGCTTTGCTTTCTCCCATCTAAGGATTGATGTGCAACTCACCTCCCCCACCGTCCTGCTGAAACAGCTAGTTTCACCTCCAGCGACAGAGTTGGTCGAAGCTGCAATCACCGAGCTTTCCGACGTGGGTGCCGTGGACAGCAATCACGAGGACGGTACCGGAACCTCCGGCAGTTTTCAAAAGCAACTGCAGCTGCTCGTAGACACTTCTGTGCCAGGAGGCCTTGATCACACCGTTGGGACACATTTGCATGGCTTTACCCTGCGAGCTGCGGCTCTGCAGATTGATTTACTTTGGGTTGAACCTCGGCGGCCACAGGATTTGCATCACGGTCCCAGTCTGTTGATAGTCTGTGCCCCGAATGCTCCGAGGATGCTGAACTGCGCCCCGGATGCCATCGCCATGGTGGCCGCCATTACGGCGGCAGATCCCTTTGCAGCTCCAACGCTGCTGTTGCTGAAGGACGGTCCATGCACACCTGCACACCCATTCACATCGACTCGCAGCTACAGCCATCGCGTGTGTGAGTGCGTTTCCTGTCTCCAGGACGAGCGTGAGTACTGCCGGAAGCTGGAGCGCTCCTTCGATGCCCGGCTACGTTGCGACGCTGGGCGCCACTCCGAGCCGCTAATGCTGCGGGAGCTCTTCATGCACTGGGTGGATGCAGGACCTGCCGCTTTCTCCCCCGGCCAAGTAATTTCGTGCGATCCAGGGCCCAGGACACTCCATTTTTTTGAGAGATTTGGACTCTGACTGAGGAGCTCCGAGAGGGAAGGCCATGGGACCCTTTTCCAGGACCTGGAACGTCGTCCCGAAAAAGCTCGAAGCAGCTGCTCGCTGGCACTTAGCTTCCCTTTGGCTTCCAGTTGATCTCGCGATGTTTAGGGTTTAGGGCCTTAAGGACTAGAATAGGGTTTTGGGGCTTCCTTGTTATAACTATAGTATAATGTAGTTTTGGACGGAGCGGAGGTGGCGACTGAAGCGGTAGACTTGTCCACGCGACTGCTCAAGCTTCTGAAGCCCGGCACGCTGGGGCACATCTCCCTCCAGCACTTCCTGGCAACCATGTGCTTCAAAGTGGACCCACGCGAGGAGATCACGACCTGTAATTTTCCGTCAGACTCTGTGTATCATCGCTGAATATGATACTTTAACACCGCACGATGTCGCTTCGCTCATGAAGTTCGCCCGCTGTTTATCCGCATCGCTCTCGTTGCCGGCTCGTCACGCATCCCTGGATGTGCCGTTTTGCCATCTGAACTGAAGGTACAACAAGCTTTTCTGTCAAGACATCAAGTTAATGCGAACGGCACTCAGACAATGGCCCACCAACTGCGAGACACAGCACCGTAGGTCCTGCCAGACGTCATTGCACCGAGGCGCGCTGTTGGCGCTCAGTTTCAGCGACCAGCTGCTTTTTCATTTAAAGCCGCGCTGGGATGCCAGCTGCGGCAAGAAGAGGAAGGAGGACCGAAGGGAATCCATGTGAGGATTCCCCTCAATGAGGCCTGAGCACTTGCCGGGATGCTGGGTCAGGAGCAGATGGTGGCGAGAATGGCAGAGCAGAAGTTGGACTATTCCGGCACTGTTTGCATCATGCAGCCACCCACGAAGCTTCGGGACAAGGGAGACGAGGAAGCCACCCAAGAAAACATACAGAGGCTGACTTCAGTGTAGTTAGGCAGCTAGTCCCTGTTGCCTTGAAGCGGAGCGTTTGTCCTTGTAGGCTTTGCCAAGCACTTTGTGGCGAAGCAGCAAAGAGGATGCCAAAGCTGATTGAGTCTGGATCTGTTTGAACTCAAGGTTGTGCTTTCGCAGGACGTTTTGGGATGACTGGGAGAAGGTCCTCTACCTCGACTTCGCTCGTTGCTCGGGCTCTTCCCTGGCTGATGCGGCGGTAAGTGTCTTTCCATCTCGCTGCAGAGGTTGGCAAGAAGAAAGGCGGACCTGACAAAGCTCGGCAGGGTGCCCAAACAACACGCAAGAGTCGTGATCTGCCAGAGTGCATCCGACCGCCCAGCACTTGCGAGGCAAGGGCCAGAGAACATTCTCAACGATGCCCTGCCTCAGGCGGATGCGACCTGCATGGGTCTGCATGGTGCATGACAAGCCTTGGGCGTTCGCTTCAGCGGGAACCCATCTGAATGTGCCACTTCACTTTGTATACACTATACTGACTATACTCTTTTGAGAATGGAGCTGCGCGAAAGCTTTTTCGTGAGCCATGGCACCCTTGCGGTTTCGGGGAAGATCACGAACTAGACCCGAAAGACGGAAAGACTTCAAGCCGAAGCCGCCCAAACCTCCCCCTTGCACAATTCCACCTCTCTCGCTTTCGCCATGCCAGGTCCACCGATGCCACCAGTTCAGCGCGGGCCGGTGGAGATTCAACGTGGAGTGCTTGCTCCACGCAGGTCGGCCAGGGTCGTCGGTTTGAGACGGATGGCTCGGTGGAAGCCTGCTTTCAAAAGGGTGTTTCTGTACCAGGCGGATCAGAAAGCGAGGAAGTCTTGGAGATCGTTCGACCGGTCGGCTCCTCTGGCGTGAGGAGTTTCAGAAGGCTGCTTGTGTCTGTGCGCAGATCCAGCCGTTCCTCATTACTTGGGATGTCCTCCAACGCAGCGAGCGGTCCGAGGGCGAAGAGCTTATCAAGAAGCCTGGCAAGGCACGGCTCCTGCAGAGAAAGTGGAGAAAGCGGTGGAGGGCGTGTCTTTCGTCGCTGGCACAGGTGCAAGCCATGCCGGATTGGTGGGATCCTCACCTTCTCTTGGACACATCTGAAAGGAAAAGGCAGAGTCGATTGCATCAACCTCGTTCCTACCCTTGTGGGGAATGCACCGGGGGCCGGGACAGTGTCAGGAGGAAGACCGATCAGAGTCATACACGACCTACAGCAGTAAGCGAGAGAAGAGCAGGAGCAGGAGCAGGAGCAGCAAATTCAGAAGACCGGGCAACGTTCAGGCGCTTGCCGACAATGCAGTTGCAAGACTTCACATAATGCAAGAGGCACGTTGCTCAAATGGTTCCTCGAGGTAAATGAAACTGCTGCCGCAAAGTGACCAACGCTGTAGAGCCCATCTGCGAAACGCGATGCCCAAGGCGGAATCCGTTGGGCTTCGCCTGCGATGTGCGGCCAGAGCTCACCCCTGCAAGGGAGCACCTTGCAGCATCCCGCCTTAGCATCTAGAGGTCAGGGTTCAGGGTTTAGGGTTTAGGGTTGATGGAAACGCCCAGGCTGCCGGAAGGTCACACAAACCAGCACGAGACATGTGCGCAGTGGCTCCCGAGTCCCAGGTGTGCGCTTCAATCCAAGGCCCTCGGCTCGGTAATCTCTGAAAGTAGACTCCAAGAGATCGATGAACTTCGGAATTTTGGCTAAGGCCTGGAGTGCCTCGGCAGAAGGAGTGCTGGGAAGCTGTAGCGAAGAGACATCGGGTGTCCGGACATAAGCCGCCGTGTATGAGCAAGGTCCGGGCAAACTGCGCTGGTGGCGGGCGTGACCGTGGCTTTGCTTTGCTTTATAAGGGAGACATAGTCAGAAGGCAGTTGAAACTCGAAATGCAAAGATTCACGTTTGCGTGTTGCACTCGCCTCGCTTCTGTTCTTGCGCATTCACGTAGCAACGCACCAGCAGCAGAACACATGCAGCAGGGGCAGCACCCACCTGCCAGTGTCATGACGTCATGTCAGGTTTTGGGAATGAACTACTTCCCTTTCTTGCTTCCGACGTTGGATCCGGGAAGATGGAAGCTTCAGTCTCGCAGCTGCAGGGGGGGAGCAGGCTCAAATGCAGATCATCAGAGCCCTTCAGCCAAGATGGGGCTTCAACGGACAGACCCACGAGATCCACGCCAGCCCCCGAGCTCTCTGTGGCTTGCTTTCTGCGTACCCTGCTCGCATCAGCCCGACTGTTATGAGGCAGTTCGCTTACTGCACATGGAGATCCAGTTGCCACCCGAGACCATCACCGGGGAAGTGCTTCGGAAGTCCAACATTTTGCGCGCCAAGATCCGGGAGGCTGTGGCACGGGCATTGAGCGTCAGCCGTTGAAGACATAGTTGCTGCCGGGGATGGATGTGTCGAACTCGATGCGAAGCAAACTCAGTCCTGGGACCCTGGGATCTTCTGGCTTCCTGCGAGGCCCTTCTGCCAGCGGATGTGTCCAAAGGCGGCAAAGGCAGCAATGCCCCGTGCTTGCAGAAGACCCGACAAGGCTCCTGTAGCCAGTGCATTCTGCAGAGCCTGCAGTGCATCCAAGGCTTCCGCCTCCATTTTCCTGAACATCCCGGACATGCGACGTGAGATGGTGCTTGGACTTTGCTTGCATCGCCAGCCGTTGCAGCCCTTGTGGGAGTTGGAGAGCCCTGAAGGCTGATCTTCTCGACGAGATATGGGACGAGCCCTACCCCGTGCGGCAAGCGAAGCGCATAAGCTGGGGCAGCTCAGTTGCAAGACTGCAAGACGGTGAAATTCCTACTGCCGCTCTGTCGAGACCAAGCTGAGGTCACGGTGCCGAAGATGCATGCGAGGCAGCTTCGGCAGTAATATACACCATTCAGGATTTGAAGGAGGGTCAGGCCACACGGGGCCGCTGCTCTATACTCGTGATTTGCGCACCGTCGGGTCCTTGCACACGATGCCGCGCCACAGGCTGGGGAACGTTTGCCTCAGCTTCGACCGCTGGAAGACACGCTTTGTGAAGTCAACGAAGTGAGGCGCTCTGCGTTCAGTTTTGTGGGTCGCAGATGTCGTTTCCGGAGTGTTTTGTCTTCCATGTCCAGGTAGCTCAGTCATGCAGAAGCATTGCGCATGTCTAGATTTCACTGCGGTGTCTAGTCTTGCATGATCAGTTGAATTGGAGCTGGCGCAGGCTGACGAAGAAACAGATAAAAGAGCAGAACAAGGCCTGCAGCACGTGTGCAAGATCGGGTGTCACAAGCCCGGAGCTGGAGAGGCTCTGCTTGCGATGCAGCAGAAGGAAGCCGCAAGACGCCCTCCGGCGGAACCACCGGCCACGTGGCTCAGATTAGGTGCTTTCTAGAAACTGCAGAGGGCCTAGGCCAAGGCCACGAAAGTGGGTAAGGTCTGCCTTAGAGTGGGCTTCTCTCAACCCCTCATGAGGAGTACGTGAAGAAAAGCGAGTTGAAGGTGGGTGATCGGGCATCTCTCACCGTCAAGTACGGTGATCATAAAGGCTTGCCTGAGCAGGGTTCAAGTTTCTGCCCCTGCTGTGATCTTGCCCGGATGACCTTCCCCCATGCAGTTTGGCGACTCGTGACTCGCACAGGCCAGTATCCTGTTCGCATCGTGGGAATCGAGGAGAAGGGTCTCAGGATACAGCACGAGAAGGACGACCTGGAACATATGCTTCTGCCAGACTTCACATGCCAGTGGTGTGCGCCACATCGTGTTCCTTCGAGCGCAGGATGGCTATGAGGAGGTCGTTAAGCAAAGAGTGTCTCGGAGCAACTTTGAGGGGTACCGTGCTCGTTCGCGCGCAGCAGCTCTCATGCGTAATCGCACGAAGTCGACTTGAGCCATTGACGAGCCAGCTGAGGACATCAAGTCTGGGAAGCTCAGCATTCAGGCCGCTTACTTGCAACTCAGATTGCGCATGCTTCGCATTGATTCTGATCGACCATGATGGTGGCAGCTTTGCTGCGGATCTCAGGTTGTCTAGCGAAGCTGGCTGAGCGCACATGTGAGGGGCGCTCGTTTAGCACATCCAGTGGTGAGTCAATATATGCATCGCGTGCCAGGGTGAGCAAGTCGACAGCAACACACACAAGCGTCTACATGTTCCCTCGACGTTATCGAACAAAAAACCGAGGCAGGGATCATCGAACACAACAGGATAAGGACATCACAGCAAAATGGGGATTATCCAAGCAATTGGGGCCTGGACGCAACCGGTCGGAGCAGCCTTGCGGGTTCAAGTGCCTCATGTCCGCCGTGACTTCATGAAGTGCAAGCGACGGACTCTACGCGCAAGGCTGACTGTACATACGACAAGCGGTTGCATTTTGCAACGAGCGCCCGTTTCACTCGACCTTCTGCCCGAGAGCGGAGGAACATCGATGCCGCCAGATTGGCCGTCACATTTCAGTTTGTCAGCAACCTGCTGACTCTCCGTCTCCAGGTGGCGAGCTGCCACCGCCAGGGGCACCTGGTTCTTCTGGATGGTGCTGTCCTGTTAAGCTACTTGGGCAAGCATCATACGATGACGTGTCACCGACCTTTAGAGGCTGCCTCGTGCAATCTTGTTGTGCTTCATCTCTCCTTGTGCAAATCCAGGAAGTTTAGGGGTTTAGGGAAAAGAAGTTCGGGGATAAGGTTTCCGGCTTAGTCAGTGTTTCGGGCATAGAGTTTCCTGATTGATTGTAGGGTTGAGCATGCAGGAGTGTGGTTCAGGTTTAGGGCTAACACATGTTATGAGTTTGTGTTTTGCACGCTACGGTTTGAGGGGGATTCCGGGTTCAGGCATTGCTGACAGCATGTTGTCATTGTCCAAAGTTTCATTTGCTATCCGTCCGATACGTCTGCGTCCGTTCACGTTGACTGACGTGCGGTTTCCGCAGTGGTTCGGGATTTGTCAACAATCATGTGTCCTGCCCTGGGATGACTTGCAGGTCGAAAGAGGACGCATAGTAGGGGCTCGCGTGCCGGGAGGGGGTGGGGTCGGGTTGGGGGTTGTGGGACGTGTGGTACAGTATGAGTAGGACTATTGCGGGAAGAAGAGAGTGCGGACCTCAAAAAACGCATGGAGCTGTAGCAGGAGCAGGATTGCGATTCTCGCAGGCTAAGTTTCGAGACCGTGCCAAGGAGTACCTGGGAGCCACGTGGTGCGGTGGAGTTGTGCCACTAAACAATCGGGCATCACTCGGTCCATGAGCGCTCGCCCTGTTCAACGAACGAGTTATCCGGTGCAGAGCTTGCAAGCCTTGCTTTAGCAATAGGGTGGAATGCAGGCTCGCTCGGAAGCTCACACGGAAAACTTCCAAAGCCCTACATTCGGGTTTGGGGTGCGGTCGCACGTGACCCTGCTGCCGGCTTCGAGCTCTGCCGGTTTCGGGTTGAGAGCACGTTACATGTAGATACATTGATATCTTCCACTCGCTCACACACAACCTTACCACGACCTTTCAACTCTTGTGGCACTGTTTCAAGTGGTTGCATTATATGCATGGGTCGTCAGCAGCTTTCAGATTTCCTGATGTTGTTGCGGTGCGACGATTAATTTTGCCACTCGCGGTTGTTTCCAGCACATTTCTTACTATGCTGATGTTGATGTTGAGCTTGTGAACTTTCATATTTATATATATATATATATATATGTATGCGTTTATGTACATTACATACACATGTACATGACTATACATTGGTACATGCACAGACATGTATACCGACATGCAGACATGCTAAATACTCCGGCATTTGCAGCTGTTGTTGAGGCTCTCGGCACCGCTACACACCGCCGGGGCCCAGAAGAGACAGAAGCGCAGGAGCTTCAGGGTGCTGAGGTTGCTTTAGGGTTTCGGGTTTTCGGGGTTGGGGCAGGCATTCTACGTCAAAGCGCTTTTGGGGTCGGGTTTCGGGGTTTGCGGGGGCGTTAGGGGGTTGGGTGTACCGGTGGACCTGTGAGGTACAAGCCAGGGTGGTAAGTCGTTACTCTAATCCGGTTTGCAAGGCAGCACTTCGATCTGCGTAGTTGCCCACGTTGGCTCGATTGCATTTTTTGTCAGATGTATTGCTGCTGGTTTCAGACTGAGCATCGGGCCTCATCTTCTCCCCGACCTGTGCTTTCTTACTTTGTCATCTCGCGTCTGGCTCGAGTGCCACGGCCGCGTGCGATTGGCAACGATGGCGTGGTTCAAGGCGGGGCCGACCTCAGCTTCCCCTGAAAACCAAAAAAAGGGCTGGAGTTTTCAGAAACCTTCAACCTTCCAACTTGGCATTTTGCAGAAGCCGTGGCTCTAACAGGGAGCCAACCCAAAGGTACTCCGGGACCCCTGCAACCCCAGAAGCAACGCCAAACGAGACAAGAACAAGGATCCGAAAGGGAGGCCCATGTGGATATCACAAAAAGGGAAACCCAAGGGGCCCCCGCCAAAGGCATCCCAAAGACAGCCCTTACAGAGATCCCCAAAGGAACCGACCAACCCAGAAAGGGCACCGCCAAGGCGTAAATCAACACGGAGAGATATGGCTGCGGACGACTGCTTGCATAAAACCCCCTAAACCCCCAAAGCCCTAAACCCTAAACCCCAAACCCGAAGGAGAAGGGCCCGCAAACAGCAACAAAAACCCAAACCCCAAGTCTTCAGTTGCTCAGTCGCTGGTGAGGTGACTCTGGTTGGCCAGTTGGCTCTGGCGGCGCTCGCGCAGACACAATGTGCAGGGCTCAACAGTCCCAGAAATTGAATAGATGAATGTGTGCACATGTACATATCTTTCATGCAGGTAGATAAGCAGATAGATAAACAGATAGGTAAACGAACAGATAAATAGACAGATGAACAGATAGATAAATGGATAGATAAATAGATAGATCAACAGATAGATAAGTAGGTAGACTGCTCCGATAGATAGGTACAGATGATAGATATACATAGATGGATAGATCGAGAAGTGGATGGGTGGTTGGGTGGGTGGGTGGGTGGATGGATGGATGGATGGATGGATGGATTGACAAGCAGGTGGGTCTCTCAAAGTGCACGTAAACAGAGCTCTGATTCATGTTGTCGTGCTTTCTGGCAAGGCGAAGTGCCGATCGGATTTCCGTCATCCACAAGTGGAGATAGAAGCTTCTTCAAATTCTTCGCATCTGTCGCCGCCAGCCTGAAGTGATCCAGCTCTTTGTCGGGTTCCTCCCCCTTCTGTCCTTTGCAAGCCTAGAAGAATTATGCACTCCTGTCCTGCTGGACCAAGGACTTCAGGCCCTTCTACTTCACGAAAATGGCGGGCTTCTGCCGCAGCGGTCCTTCCTGGGATCACGCGCCGGTTCCCAAGTGAAGTTCAGAGCCAAGAGTCATATGATACTTATCACAGTATATGAGAATTACGAAAATCACTACAATCGCAAGGATATGTGGGATGTGAGGGGTTCATACTTGGAGATGGGTTACAAGTATAGTTACCCTACTTAGAGCCCTACTTATAACTACCCATGAACCTCCAAGTAGGCGCGGTGAGTTTCACGTAGGGCTGCGAGAAGAGAGCAGCAGATCGGCTTATTTTCGCTGTCGGATCCTTGAGCCATCTGGGAGTTTCCGAAATAGGGGGTACCTTATTTCGGGGTCCTTACGAAAAGGATCCTATTATCTAGGGCGCTATAGCAGGGCCTTATTTTCGGAAACTCCCAATCTGGCTAGTTGTCAAAATTAGGGTCCCTTTTTGGGGTACCCTTACCCTACACAATAGGTGCCGCATTATATTAGGGACCCAAAAAGGGATCAAAAAGGGATCATAATTCTGACAACCACCCATCTGCGCAAACTAACGCCATTGACAAATCCACAGCAACTCTTCAGCGACACAGACATATGAAGACGTGGCATTGTTTGCGTGATATAAGGCCGGCGCTGAAGACCAATGCAGGGCAAGTCCAGCCGGGCCAACAAAACTCAGTGGGAGGCCTGGGTCCGTCGTTCCCGATTTTGAGGTCGTTGCGAATCTGGTTGGCGGCGGTGGTGGTAGTGGTGGTAGCAGCAGAAGTCTGTGGGCCGTCGTGGTTTCATTGTGACAGTGACAGGAACAGCATAGCAACAGTAGAGGTCGTAGCAACTGATGTAACAGCAGTACTTGATAGCATTGGTTCCTGTCAGTAGCGCGAACAGTACCCATAGCAGGAATGATAGCGTTGGTAGAAATGGTAGCCTAACTGTCGGAGTTCGGTCAACTCTGAATATCAGCGTGCCTCTGCCTGCCGCCCTGACAGACAACCTGTGGTTCTGCCTGAAGGACTGCACAGCCTCTCACATGATGTGGCAACCTGCTCTGCAGGGTTGCGGTCGGTTACTCTTTTGTCAATTGAATGCGGGTCGCCAAAGTGGCAGCGTCGGAAGACGGGGGGATGTGTGCAAGCATGCAGAAGGGGTCGGCAGTGACAAGGCTCTGCAGCAGATTCACCGTTCCCAGCAAGCTTGAGTGCAGGAGGAGCGCACCCGAGTTGGATGTATGGCCGAGTGTGAAACGCGGCCCGATTGCCATGCTGCTCTCTTGCATTTTGCTTTACCAGAACCTGGGGGAGAGGACTCAGGAGCTTGCTTTCTCCACGGCGATCCCTGGCAGCCGAGGCCATTGATCGACCGCCAACGATTGGCTTCGCCGAATGCTGTCGCTGGGATTGCTTTGCTGGCCTTAACGGCTCAGTGTTTTGCTCGATGTGCTCGACAGGCGGAAGCAGATGTTGTCTGTTGTTGCATCTCAGGTCTTTTCACGGGCAACAACACCGGCAATGGCGTCGCGGATCGCTTTTGTTTCTCGAAAGATGTGACGCGCGAGCCACAAGCTGGAGATCTCATTGACACGACTCATGGTTGGATTGATATGGAGGGTAAGCAGTAAGCATGTAACAGGACGAGGTTGGAGGGGTCCGCGGTTGCTCATGTCCATAGTCTGACACGCTCTTCACATTGTGATGATCAATTTTCTTCCGCAGCTCCTCCAAAAGGGCCTCGGAGGCGGCTTGGTGCTAAGGACTGTGACTGTACTTCCGGTGCCTTTCCTGGGTTACCTCACGCTGTCTTCCCAGACTGTCGGTGTGGTGGCAACGGCCGAGATGGGATTGTGCTTTCCCTGGACGCACCTCGGCCGAAATCATGTTCTGCTCTTGTGTCCGATGCCAGCGCCGCTTAGAGTGGTCGCTGACCATAGGAGATTTTGTTCACTTGCTGAGTTCTAAGTTGTATTGCTTGGTAGCATGGAAGCAACGAGTGGGAAGCCTGGACCTGAGGTGGTGCGGATTCGTCGTGAAGGACTGCAGCGGTGCTATCCTGTACAAAATGGAAGCATCCTGTCCGGAAACTGGCAGCCGGTCTCAGATAGAAGTTGGAAGCTCCCCAGCTTCAAGCCGCTTCGAGGTAGACACGTTGCCGGACGTTGATGCCGATGGGACGGAGCTTCTTGTCCTGACCACACGGTGTCGCCATGAAGGGAAGAGGGTGCTCAGGCGATGTAGACTCTAAGAACTGGCGCTGGAGCCGGGACCTGAGCGGCTGAGGCTACCAGGTACGGCTGGATTGAGCTATGTTATCAAAGATGCCGTGGCGGAGCTGCAAATGGCGCAGAGCAGCGGCTTTGAACCATGATGCATCTGGCAACTGAGGTTGGGTCGTATCTCGGTCGAAGCAGCCATCTCACAGACGGTGCAGAGCCCATCCGGCTTCTGGATGCTGAGAACACACAGGCAGTTCGTTCCTTTTGACTTCGTGTGTGTCACCTTTGCAAAGGTCCATGACTGTCTCCGGTGTGACGTCCTCATGTAGCACATAAAACGCGAGTGGACGTGTGTCGTCCTCTGTTGGGCAGCGGCTACGCTTCCGTTTTCACAGCAGGTCTCCATGCTCATCACAGCAGCTGGGTTTTGGCGACGCACGTTTTTCCCGCTTCAATGGTATGCCAGGAACCTGGCCGTGTGCTGTACCTTGAAAGCGATGTACACCAAAGCTGATTCCTGCAAGGTCAACACTGCTGTGACGAGAGAGCCCGTGACTCCTGCGAGAGCTTTCTGGCTTGCGGATTCTGCCAGATCTGCTAGATAAAGCAATTAAAACTCTCCATCTGTGATTGGCGCTGCCAGAATTTTCTAAACCTGTCGCTGCTCGCCAGGCCACAGCGGTGCCTCTTGCAGATCCACGGTTGCTCACACTGATGGTCACCTTCCAGTTTCGCAATCTAGGCCCCTCAATGGTCACTGTCAAGTGCCGCTGCAGAGTTGCGAGTCTCTCCGCCACTTGCTCTGTATTGCAGGATACTTTGGCATCTTCTGGATTCTTCTCCTGGTGATCGTCGTGGTGGCAGTGTACCTGTACCTAAGGAGGTGCTCGTGCTCGCCAGATGGCGCCAAAGTCTGTAGTGTTGCCCGATGTGTAGAAGCTGTCGAGCATTTTGGTACGTATGTACTAGTATGAGATTGGTTCTGACTGGCGGCTGCGTAGCCGCGTGAGATGGAGTCAATCGTATGTGGTCACATGACTCGCGAATCATCTCGAAAGCAGGAGCAGGGGGCTGACCTACGATGGTGGCTTCAGCATTCGCGGCGCTTGCTTCAAGGGCTTGCCCTACTACTCTTATGCTGATGAAGAGCAGGCACATCTTCTTGATGTAGGTCCACACCATAGACACTTCATGGCTCCTTCCGCTTTTGCTTGAGCCGACTCGCTCGCAGCAGCAAATTTGCAGTCCTTGTAGGAGTTTCTGGCTGGCGGCGATGGCGGAGGCTGCTGCACTGGACGACAAAAGAAGACTCCGCAGGCCACTGCCGCAAGTTTTGTTAAGCCTGCAACGGCGCGGCATGCTGGCAATTGACAGCTGAAACATTAGCAGCCAGCCGCGTAATCAGAAATTGCACATCAGAAACTGCGCATGAGAATCCAGTCGCGCATCAGAAACTGCGCATCGGCGTCCTTCGCACATCGGAAAGTGGACATCGGAATCCATGAGCATTGGGAACTGCGCACCGGCAATTTGCACTCATCGGAAACTGCGCATGCGACACCTAAACTGTGCGTCGGAAACCGGCACACATCGGAAACTGGGTATGCGAAACTGGCCCGAATCAGAAACTGCGCAGCCAAGAGCATCCATGCTCGAACGATGATATCGTCCGTGCTAGCCGTGCATCCAAAACACATTCCGCAACCAAGAGCATCCATGGATGGTAATGTCCACGCTACCAGTGCATCCGAAACCAAGAGCATCCACGTCCGCCTCCGAAACCTGCATCGAAAACCAAGAGAATCCGTGCCCGAGCGATGATAACATCCATGCTGCCAGTGCATCCACTCCAGTGCATTGCAGTCCGAATAGCATCCATGCCCAAACGATGAGGGTGCTCATGCGCCCTGTGCATCCGAAACCAAGATCATCCCTGCCCCTCTGAGCTTGAAGCCCGAGACTCTAATTCCGCAATTTTTCCGACATGAGCGCGAGACCAGCGTGTTCCCAGGTTTCCGAATCACCCGTTCCTGGTTTCGCCGTTTTGGCTTCCGAATCAGCTGCTCTGGCTTCCGAACTGCTGGTTTCCGAGTCTGTCGCTCCGGTTTCCGGAATTGACGCTACAAAGCAATGCCACCGACAACTAAACCCTAAGAAGCCGAAGCCACCTAACCCCTAAACCCCTAAGCCCCAAAACCAGAAAACCCCTGAACCCCTGCACCCATAAACCCCTAAACCCTTGAGCCCCTAAGCCCCTGAACCCCTAAACCCCTAAACCCCTCAGCCCCTGTTACACCCCTAAACGCCTAAGCGTCACTGGGCAGAACTCCTGGGCCTCCTCGCTGATGCTGGTGAGCAGCCCAGCGGGTGAAACTCTCTGAAGGTCACTGAGCTGCAGAGCCAGGGTGCAGGGGTTTAGGGGCTTAGGGGTTTAGGGTTTACGGGTTTAGGGGTTTGACTGTTTTGGGGGTTTTGGGGGTTTAGGGGTTTAGTGGTCGTTGCATCCTGAAACTTGGGATGACCAGTTGATCAGTTTTTGCAATCTGGGGTGGCCGTGTGGCACGAGCCCACAGCACAGTCGGCGCCTCAGTTCCTGGCATATGCGTAGTCCAGGTGTAAAAGGGTAAGGTTAGGGTTTTGTGGAGGCATCAGAGAGTCTTACCTGTCATGTCACGAAGCTTTCCTCCAGTTGAGTTGAGGAAGACCAGTGGCTCTGGTGGTTTGCATCCGAGCGAATGCCTGCGCTCACTCAGCCTGAACTTCGCATGAGCTTGCAGATTATGACCGGAGACCGGTTCATTGCTTTGGGTTGTTGGGTCGTCAGGTTTCTGCCACATGCAGCAGAGATCCCACAGTTGAAAGTCGGAACAATGCTAAGTTTTGCCCTTTTGCTGGAGCGGTAGGCTTTCGGGACACACGCTAACAGCATGTGATAGCTTGTGCTCCGTTTGCCACCGTTCTAGGGTTTCGAGGACGTACTTGACTTCCAACTTTCTGATTTCTGCTGTAGCTCCAAGCTGAACCCAGTCGGTCCGACATGTGAAATCGTTCAGCGCGGCGACCCCCGAAATACGCTCTTAGAAGCACAATAAGTGCCCGTGAAACTGCTTTTATCAAGCGTAGTTTCACTTGGGTGTGTTTTTTGGAGGTTTCACACTTCGGACTGGGAGGCATTTCCTCACTTGAGCTAGAGATGCCATGACCACAAATGTGCCATGGCAAGCAAGGAAACTGAAGTACGAGTTAGTCGAATCGGTCGGTGGTTCAGAACCAAAGCAGCTGTTCCACATCGATCTAGTTGATGCGTCTTAGACGCACGCCAAACAAGCTTTGCTGGGAAAAGTGCTTGAACGACGGACGACGCTTTTGAGTCTACTGCAATGCTCGTCGTTCTTTTGAGAACATCGTCTGCCTGCTTACATGAAGAAGTCTGGAAAGTCGTGTTTGGAGAGTGGAGTTCAAACGAACAAGCGAAGATCAGGTTCGCGCGGCTTCCGGAGGACTGCCGGCCGGGGCAGCGTGCCGCAGCCTCGGAGGCACATAAAGGCTTGCCGGGCATCACACCTGTTTGGGTCAGCAGCCTCTCTGCTGTTCAGCATCCTATGATGCAAGGTCACGGTTTCAGTGGCTCGGACTGTGCCGCATCTGACCGGCAGCGGTGGTAGGTGGGCTCCAGTCACGATGCTGATGGCTTCTCCTGTTGCTTGCTGACCTGCATGCGAAGGCTGACTTTGGAAAGATTGGACATTCTTCCCGACGGCGAGTGCGACTCCCGGCCTCTGCTCTTGTTTACAGAGCATCCGCAGCTCGAGGCTGCAACATCGAATTTTCTTGAAACTTTGATGAATGCTAGCGGAATGATCGAGGAATCTTGGGAGGTGCTGAAGGGAGGGGAACAAGCATAGAGCCTGCAAACCTTTCCACTCAACGTGAATCTTGAGCACTGAAACGGCCTTTGTCGCGGCAGCTTAGTGCCTGAGACATCCAACGGAGGCGCATGAGGGGCCGGGGCTTTACAGGGAGGCCGGTAGATTCACCGCTCCAAACCGGAACGGTCTGCGACTGTTGGCTCGGTCTCCTGGCGTCTCCTGGTCTGTGAGGTGTCTTTGTCCGCAGCTTCCGGAAGGCGCAGGCCCGGGCTCCCCGAAACGTTCTGAAAGTCTGACAGAAACCCAGACATCTTGCGAGGTGGTGCGGAATATCCCGTCCATCTCAGCGGTGCGGTGTTTGGCGTTCCAGCTGGGGTCTTACACTCCCCCTGCGCGACTCTTGAACTTCGCCCAGGGGTCCATCACAGCTCCTCATCAGGTGCGAGCCAAGGAGAAGCCAGAAGGCCACGCACATTTGCTGTACGACCTTTTTCAGCCGCAAAAGCTTCGATGAGCATGTGCGACCTGAATCGAACGCTATGCCAGATCCTGCAGCCGCTTCCTCCTTGGGGTTCAAGCCCTCAGTTGGTCTGCGACGCTGCCTCGTGCTTTCGGGTTTCAGTCTGCGGTCAATGCTTCTCAGACCGAAGGTGCGAGTCTGGTTCCGCGCGCAGGGAGGTCGTTGCCATTGCACGAGCGACGGGAGGGGGTCTGCAGAAGCTCTTCACGCCCTGTGAGGATTCCCCAGCTTCGACTTGGAAGCGTTTCCAGGCCTGCTTCAGCCATCGCAGAGTTTCCTGATCACGTTGGGAATGCAGGAGCTGGAGGAAAGGGACCGCAGATTTCGGAACAAGTCTCGTCCTTGGGTCACGCGACGAATGCAACTGATGGGCTGCTTCAATGCAGACCGAGGTTTCAAAGTATCGCTGAGTTTCAGCAGCAGGAAACTTAGCAGTTCGACACAATGTAGCAAGCTGAGTTCTCAAGCTAGACTGCTCTGAAGTGCCCAGGTTCGAGCGAACCCTGCAATGGTTCCGGGCGCACGACTGCACAGAGTGCTTTTCTGAGCTGTTCTGCTAAAGTCACAGCTTCTACGGTTGGCTGTGTAACTATGTTAAGTCCTGTTCCAGGAGCCACCGGCTGACCCACTCTTGCTTCAAAGGAGCTGCCATGGTCTTTCGAGCCGGATCGAATCGCCACCGTCATTGGCGGTTGAGCACATTATCCAGGACGCTCCGACTTCACGCAGACAGGCATGCTCGCGCAGACCTTGGGACTGCCGCCGGCCGAGGAGTCTAGGGAAGTCTCCGCCGCCGAAGACATCCCCAGGTTTTTGACACTGAAGAGGACCTCGAAGGGTTGAACAAGGCAGCTGGGCTGTCAAAACATTATCTTGTGCGTTTTCGCGTGTTCTGTTGAGGCAATAGCTTGGCTGTATGACCGACGGATTCCCGTCGTCTTGATGGAGCGACAGCTCGGTCCTTTGAGGGGATTCGGGCACCAAGAAACCACGTCAGCTTGTGGGATACCCCTGAGGACACGCATTTTCCCGCTGATCTTCGACATGGACTTGAAGGTTACATCGCAGGATGCGACGGAGGGCAAGAAGTCGGAGCATGTTTTCCTTTAGCTGGTCGAAAGGCTTGGCTGCTACCTTCAACCTTTGAATTGAATGTGCCTTCGGCTACTTTCGCCTTCTGGTCCGGTTGCGGTCTCTACTCTGCATAGCCGGCATAGCCCCTCTCTGTGTCTGTTGTCAGTGTCGCTGCAACATCAGAATGCGATGGGCCGCAGCGAGCAAGGTAGTCTGCCTGCGTGAGGTGGGTGAGGCAGCTTTGGGGCGGAGAGCCTTTGCATACGGTTCCGGAAGACACGCAACATTCGCGGTTCTTTCGCACAGCTACACTATCAAATCAATCCCTGAGGTTCCATCCATGCCTTCTCTTTCATATTCCAACGAACGGATCCTGCTGTTGAGATGCAACGCTTACGTCTCCACCGCATATTATGCTGGACACACAGACCTTCTAGGACATGCTGGACTCAGTGCCTGTGCGCATCAAGCGGACGAGGTGGGCATGCCTCTCCTCCAGTGGGAGCTTTTGAATTCAATTATACTTGTGTCTCGTTGAACGGGCAAATTCTGAAGCATAGACACCATCGTGATATGCAGTCTCTCACAGGAGCCGGGCTCAAAATGACGGGAGCACAGCCACACGTCAGAGACCCTGCCCATGCAAACAAGATTTAGACTTTGCAGCTTGTGCCTTGTAGTCCTGCATGATCGTCCCTACATCGGCATACTGTAACGACGAGACAATGCGGTTCTGAATTAAGGGGCTTGGACATGCGCGTCCATGCTAATGGGCAGGAGCGGGGAACATTCATTATTCAGGGAGTAGCTTCGGTGTCACACGACAGGCCCTGGCGAGGTCGTGTCGATTTTTGCCGCTGGCACGGCGCCGACCATTTCGTCCTTAGCAAGGTCCGGGTTGCAGGAGATGATGGTGACGCTGGTAGCATGTAGGGTCAGATGCTGGTAGGACATGGTATTGCTCCGGCACCTGGGAATGATCGTCTTTCAGTTCTTCCCGGACGGAAACTGCTTTCTATTGCCTGTGACGCGAAGTGTATTCTACGTCTCCAGCGTTCGCACAGGATCTCCCCCTGATCGACTTTTGCATCTTCAACGCATCCGGCTGGGACAGAGTCAAAGAGTTGGTCAAGGCAGGTTTTCAATTGCAACTTACTCGGTTTGTTCCTGGAAGCATCTTGCATGGATCAGGTTTCCCTTCATCTCGTTGCTCCCTATGTGCCGCACCCCCGGATCGTCGATGCACAGGACCTCTGGCACGGATTCTGAGGACATGCTCGAACCGCAATTGTCAGAAGCCGCCTGTTGCTGCATTGGTCATCGGTCTAGGCTGGTCACACCCGATCGCCTTACCGCCATTCGGGAGAGGATGCTGGAGTGCGCCGACAACTGTGCCGTTGCAAGCAACTTTCGAGTCCTTTTACGGAGCAGGTATCTGGGCGAATGCTCGGAAGCTGAAGGTCATCCCCTGGCAGATCTGCTGCAGACCTATCTCCAAGAGTCGGAGGCGTATAACTACGCTGAACAGGCAGGCCGACTGTGATTGGAAGAACGATCGCTGCAGGACAACACTTGGGACAAGGTCGTGGATCAAACTGTGACGAGTGGGACGAATGGTCTGCGCATGCCGTGCCCCGCGGCAGCTGCTTCGGTGTATGGTGTCCTCCGGCAAACGGCAGGTACTGTGACAAAGCTCAGAGGAGCGTGCAGCCGAGTTTCTGAAGAGACGTGATGTATTCAGTGGATTTGCTCCACATCCTTGCCTTACCATGGGCGTCGCCGCCATGCAAACTGCCTCCCTGGCGCCAAGTCCTGAAGAGAGAGTTCGTGGACCGCAAGCGGCGGGGAGAGGCCTGTAAAACATGAAACCCTGCAGCTGCTTCTCACATGTCACAGCATGCTTGGCTTGCATCGAAAGAAGCGCTTGCCTGCTCGTCATGGTGCCTGCGGCATTCAGAGCTTTAGCAACTTTAGCAGGTCTTTACCGAGCGGCAGCTCATGGATCTCCACGCGTATCTCAAGGAGGAGGCAGCCTGAAACATGTCAGAAGGGCAGAATCAGAGCCGGTGATGATATGCGAAAGGCCGGCCGTCCCTGCCTTCCCGAGGGCATCTTGCGGCTAATCCCAGCCGCGGCTCTCAGACTCCGAGCTCTGCCTGTGGCTTCCATTGGGTTGGGTGTGAGGCCAGGAATGTGGAAGACGAGAATGCGCTGCCGGAGGCCAGATGGGATGCCGACTTTCCCTGCTCTGCCTTTAGGAACCCTTGGTGCCTTAGTCTGATAGTCTGATCAGCAGAGAGCCAGGCGAAGTGGATGTGCAAAGGAGATGACTTGCCGATAGACGAGTGGATTCGACTGGGAAGGCTTCGCTCTGCCGTGCTTGCTAAGCCGTTCTATGGCAGACACGGCGCAGTGGCAGACTGCTGTGGGACCACCTAGCTTTCTGTTTGCCTGGCAGCAGCAGTTGAGAATCTGTGAGGTGTCGCTATGCTTGGCGCATGCCTTTAGCTCCGCCAGGTGTGTGAGTGCCTGCAGGGCTGAGTTTCTCTAATGTGCTGACGCGTAAGCCAAGCGTGTGAGTGCAGGTCCTACCCCCTGGCGGCCTCCGCTTCGTTATCAGTGCGGCCCCTGGTCCACTGATCTGAACCAGGACTCCGCTATTCTCCGCACGTCAGGTGGGTGGAGCCAGTGCCCCTCTGGGAGGCACCGTTGTGGAGCTCGGGGCCCGGGGCCCCGGTCAGCTCGGGTGCTCCGAGGATCGAAGCCAACTGAAGGGCAGCCCCGTGGTGCGGCGCCCAGCGCTTGCGGCGCTTGCGGCGCTTGGCAGGGCCTAAGCGGCTTCTTCGGCTTCGGCTGAGGTGAGGAAATTCCAGGGCTCGGTCGCTGAGTTCCGCAGCAACTGGGAAGAGGTCGCCTCGCAGCAGAGACACCGGCCGGGACCTTTTGCCTCTACTTGCCAGGCACTGAGCCGCTCCCCTAAGCTCTCCGGTCGCTGGCTGATCTCGAGCAGGGTCGCCCAATGTCGTCCTGTGTGGGGCTCACTCCAGCGGTTGGATGCCTCCGAGGCATCGATGCCCGTTGGCGCGGCGGCCTGGAGAACGACTCCACTCATGAGGCTCGGAGCTTGCGGTCTGGCCCTGTCAGCAAGCCAGCAGATGGCTGAAAGCACACGGAGGTTCGCTACATTGTGCGAGCTTCCCGTGTGATTCTTCTGCAGAGCCCTCAATGCTGTGCCGGTCATGGCGATCTGATGCCTGTCGGATGCAGCGGAGGTTGTCTCCTGAAGTTGGGGCAGCTCTGGCTTTTACGGAGAAGCTTGGCAGATGTTTGCGGTTCGTTCTGGAGAGTCAAGTAAATCCCCGAAATCAGCAACGCGGCTGACCCGAGGTTTCGCAAGGTCTTGGCTGGTTGGACAGAGCCGGATGACTTTCTGCAGACAGCTCAGCACGGTGTTCTGCCTACCCCTCCCCCTTGCAAGGAAGGACAGTGTCTTGTGAAAGCGGGTGGAGGGGATTCGGTGCACTGCCGGTCCGTTGCCAGGTGTGTGCCCATTTGCGGCTCCCCTTCCGACTCACACTCGTCGGCTGGAGCCCCGGTGGTGAATGTGGCGACACAGTCTTGGAGCTGCAACTCTGCAGCTTCGACAGGCACTGCACACTATCGTCGCTCCGTCGAAGGAATTCCCCACTTTGCAGGCCTCGCAGTTTGGCGAAACCACGATGTTCATGATGCCGCCTGCGGAGCCAGGCAGCTCTAAATGCTGTCCCGAGCGATGAGCCTCTCCATCGTGCCAGCTTCCGAGCATGTCTGGGCTGCAGCCCTTCCGCCCCCTCAGCATGCACTCGGTTGCACCTCAACGCTTTTTGACTTTCTCTCAAAGGTCTTGGTGAGGTGTGGCACGCACGAGCTGCCAGAGACACTGTCTGGAGCCTGATGATGCTCGTAGGGGGCGACATGTCCTGTAGCTATATACTGCAAGCCAGGTGCATCAAGCGACCGGTCTTGCTGGAGGGGGAGGGCCGCTGGGAAACGACTCTGAGGAGCTCCAGCTTCAAATCCAGTGGTTCTACGGTTCTACCGAGAGAGTGCCGCGCCTCCGGGTCTGTCTCTGCTCGACCTTCATTCTGTTCTGCTCCCAGCCAAGTCGTGTCTCCTTCACGATCAACAAAACACCATGCCTTGGGTTTACGAGATGGAGCCCGCAAATGGGAAGGCCCTTTGCGACAGAAACTACGCTCGTACTTCCTTCTAGCTGCCATGAGAAGCTTCAGCGCTGTTGCGCCAGCCATGGCCCGTAGCAAGCGGAATCGCTTCTGCGTCTTGGTTTTGCTCCTTCCACTCCTCGGTTTGAGCTTCAGTATGCCTCGGCCCAGAGAGAAGCGCGGCTTTGGGCAGCAACTCCTGGACATGGCTCTCGAATCACCACTTTACAAGATGCTGCTTGTTCCGCAGGCCCGGAGGACCATGGTGGACACAGCCGAGGCCAACGGGATTGGATGGAGCTCTTCTTTGGAGTACATCCGCGGTCAGGGACCTTGGGATGACTCTGTGTTGCAAGAGCTAGAAGCCGACTTACCGGCGAAGCTTCCGTCGTACTACAAAAAGCCTTTCCATGCCTACGACACGGGCAACCTGAACTGGGAGGCCGCGTTTGAGCAGGAACTTGCCAGCAGGGCAGTAGGTGCGAGAAACTTCCCGGCATTTGGGAAAGATGGCGAGGATGCTTTTCGAGCTGCGTTTGACAACGCCTTGGAATCGCTTGGGGCGAATGTTCCTGACGGTGGCGTCATCGTGGACATGGGATGTGGGACAGGGATCAGCACAAGGCGGTTGGCAGCGCGCTTTCCGAATGCATCACGGCTGATCGGTTTGGACCTGTCGCCGTATTTTGTTGCTGTAGGCCGACGCCTGATGGAGCTAGAGCCTGGAGCGGGAAACTGGGTCACCGATGTACTTGCTGACAAGCGAGTCGAACTGCAGTTTGCTAATGCCGAAAGCACCGGCCTGCCAGACGAATGTGCAACAGCCGTAAACCTCTGCCTAGTGATCCACGAGCTGCCTCCGGACATCACGAGACGGGTCTGTGCGGAAGCCTTGCGACTTCTGAAGCCAGGAGGCCAGCTATGGATCACTGAAATGGATTTCTCCGCGCCAGGCTACGTGCAGCTGCGCTCAAATCCGTTGCTGTTTGCTCTTATCCGCTCCACGGAGCCATATCTGGACGAGTACGCAGACTCAACTGAAGAGCTGTTTCCGCATCTGGCAGAACTCGAGTCTGTGGAATCAGCGTCTTGCTTGGCACTTGCTTGGGGTGTATCCGGCAAAAACTAGTCACTAGTCTTCTTCTCTGCCGGTCGTCAGGGCAGTGCTGAACCAATCCTGTTGCACAGGTGCGTCTGACGGCCGCCACTGGCAGGCACTTTGCTGTGGTCGTCACGAAGGGCCGCGGAAAGGAATCGCGGCTGGATGACCGGCGTTGGGATGAGTCCGGTGTCTCGGATTTGTTGGCCGTTGGCATCCATGCTGATTTTTTGATTCCATGTATCCGGGGTTGTCCGAACGAGCTTTCTGCTAGTTAGCTGTAATGCATACACCTCCGACAAGTCCTCCGACAGATTTGATTCCGAGGCAACTATGTGCCCTGGCAACATGAGCCTCTGAACTTTCCGTATCTGCTGCAGCGATTGCCTACAGCTGCGCCCCTGCTGTCTTGAACTCGAGAGATTTGAGATGCGTCTTGCCGAGGTCGTGGAAGACACGCACCTCCAGACCTGGGAGAGCAAGCTCTCCAAGTGATGCCTGAGTCAAGTTGCATCGACGGATAGTGCGGAGAAACAAACCACGACAGTCGGAAGAGAACTGCGAGTCTGGCCTTCCCGCAGACTGAAGACTTTGCAGACTTTGCAGACTCTGCAGACTCTGCGGACTCTGCGGACTGCAGGACTAGGAACCAAACAACTCTGCGCCTCTACGGGTCCACACCTCAGGGCTTCTCTTCTCTGTCTTCTTCCGAGCAGCTTGCCGCAGCGCATGTCTTGGAGGCCAGGAGCTCACCGGGTGCGCCTGCCCCGTTTGGCGCATGAGCTGTACACGAGTAGCTCGGGCGAACTTGGGTCCGAGATGGCAGTAGATCGCTTGCCTGCCTCCGTCCGTGTCAGTCGAATCGCATTCACGATCAGTCGCTGCTGTCGCGTCTTTGGCGTGTGACTGAGGATGCTGCAGCAGATCCTTGTCAGGCGATGGTGCGCAACTTGCGGGTGGAAGTCTACGGAGGCGAGCAAGGCCACGCCCAGACAGACAGAGGCCCTAAAAGCGAAGAGGGCAGGGGCTCTGGGCGATGCTGCGAGGTGGGGCTGCTGTGGAGATCGACGCTTTGGAGGCTAGAAAATTGCTGCGATGCGAGCCCAGCATGGAGTGCTTTCTTGGGAGCGCCCTGGAGGGCGAAGCGGCCGTTGTCGGCTGCTACCTGGCTGCGGAAGGCCGGTCCGAAGAGGAGCCTGGCTGCTCGCAGAAGAGCCTCTGCTTGAGGCACTTGGGGTACGTGCGTGTGGGCCCGGGGCGGCTCTCCTCAGATTGCAGCCTGGCGCAGTTTCAGGGAAGCGCCAACTGTGTGCACATCGGCTGTGAACGTGCGCCCAGTGAATCCCAGATCAAGGTGCGGAATTTTGTCGCGCGCGCCCGCTGGGGCGTGGTCTCACCCCGAGCAGAGTCATGAACATTATACTGTCATGAGCCAGAACTACTGGAACGTGACTTGAATCCGAGGTTCTGATAGGCACTGGCGGCCGTGTCGAAGATAACAGCATCCGTGGTCTCGGCGAAGCGGCGCGCCCTGCAGCAGCATGCGATGCAGCACAGATGAGTGCTGTTCAGTCTAGCAGTCTAGCATGTGTAGCTCAAGAGCAGGCTCTAAGCTGCAGCGACCCAGAGCCAACTAGTCAAGACCCGCAGGGACTCGTGCTGGTCGGTGGGAGCACCTGGGTCCGGGACTCGCTTGAAGGTCTTTGGCAGCATTTCCCCCACAAACATCTGGCCACTTAATGCCAGCAAATTTCCAGCCCCTTGCCGCATAGGGGACAGAGCTCTAGTATCCAGGGTGTATTCAGGCTGTGACTAAGCTTTACAAATAACTTCCGTTGATGTTTGCCGGGCATGCACCCTCTGTGCTCCGAATGCTGCAGTGCATGTGTACGGGCGGCCAGGTTTCCGTACTGGTTTTTAATAGCGGGGTGTCTTGGAATGCCGGATTTGGCCAAAACCCTCGCGAGCAAGGAAGGTCATCTGTTGCGACGTTTCATTGCTGCCTCAGCATTTGTGTGTAAATTTTCCGTCTAGTATGTGGCCAGCTACAAGATACCCACCAGCTCACTCTATGAGCCACTACCCAATCTGATGGAGTCATTGTTGCCGTTGTCCCCACTACTAAGACTACCATTACTACGACCGATACTATCACCAATACAACTACTGCTACTTTTCCTTTACTACTCGGACCACTCTTGTTCATCTCACAAGACTAAGCGGCGATACCCTGCAGAAATACTTGGCCAGATCCCTGCACAGCGATAGGACCCCCCAAATCACCCATGACCAGGCCTGATACTTGTGACAGACGCTCAACTAAACAGTGAAATAGCTCCATCGAAACAGTCCGCCTTTCTGTTAACAGACGAGGGTGAATGACGTCGGCACAGGAAATGGGAAATGCGTGATGTCGCTATGAACTGTGTTGCCTGAAGGGCACTTGTCGACTGTTGCTCTGCAAACTTTACACACGGCTGGTGTCTGAGGATGATCCCTGATAAGCCTTGGAGATCCGAAGCGAAAGTGAGGATCATACTACTTAACTTTCGTTCTTCTGAGAAGCATCCATGTCGAAGTTTGTCCTGGTGCATGACCTCCGTGTCTTTGAAAGCACTTCAGTGCATGTGCTCTTTGGGATGCACGGCATCTGGAATTATGTTGGTGGTGGGATGTCGAGGTGAGCGGCACTTGACGCGTATAGGTGGGCAATCACAGGCAATCGGAAGCTTGAGATGCATTTGTTGACTGGAAGATACTGGAAGGGTCACCGAAAGAGCATGTGTCGATTCGGTTTCGTTGCGCGAGCTTGCAGACGGCCGGTGCCTGAGGATGATCCCTGATAAACCTTGGAGATCCGAGTCGAAAGTGAGGATCATACTACTTAACTTTCGTTCTTCTGAGAAGCATCCATGTCGAAGATTGTCATGGCGCATGACCTCGTCTTGGTTGGGCCACTGAAGGAGCATTTGTCGATTCGGTTTCGTTGTGTGAGCTTGCAGACGGCTGGTGCCTGCGGATGATCCCTGATAAACCTTGGAGATCCGAATCGAATTTGAGGATCATACTACTTAACTTTCGTTCTTCTGAGAAGCATCCATCTCGAAGATTGTCATGGTGCATGACCTCGGTGTCTTTGAAGTACTTCAGTGCATGTGCTCTCCCGGATGCACGGCACCTGGAATTGTGTTGGTGGTAGGATGTCGAGGTGAACCGCACTTGACGCGCCAAGCTGGGCAATCAATGGCAATCGGAAGCTTGAGATGCGTTTGTTGACTGGAAGGACCACTGAAAGAGCATTTGTCGATTCGGTTTCGTTGTGTGAGCTTGCAGACGGCCGGTGCCTGAGGATGATCCCTGATAAACCTTGGAGATCCGAATCGAAATTGAGGATCATACTACTTAACTTTCGTTCTTCTGAGAAGCATCCATGTCGAAGATTGTCATGGTGCATGACCTCGTCTTGGTTGGGCCACTGAAAGAGCATTTGTCGATTCGGTTTCGTTGTGTGAGCCTGCAGACGGCCGGTGCCTGAGGATGATCCCTGATAAACCTTGGAGATCCGAACCAAAAGTGAGGATCATACTACTTAACTTTCGTTCTTCTGAGAAGCATCCATGTCGAATATTGTCATGGTGCATGACCTCGTCTTGGTGGTAGGATGTCGAGGTGAACCGCACTTGACGCGCCAAGCTATGCAATCATAGACAATCGGAAGCTTGAGATGCATTTGTTGACTGGAAGGGTCACTGAAAGAGCATTTGTCGATTCGGTTTCGTTGTGCGAGCTTGCAGACGGCCGGTGCCTGAGGATGATCCCTGATAAACCTTGGAGATCCGAATCGAAATTGTGGATCATACTACTTAACTTTCGTTCTTCTGAGAAGCATCCATGTCGAAGATTGTCATGGTGCATGACCTCGTCTTGGTTGGGCCACTGAAAGAGCATTTGTCGATTCGGTTTCGTTGTGTGAGCCTGCAGACGGCCGGTGCCTGAGGATGATCCCTGATAAACCTTGGAGATCCGAACCAAAAGTGAGGATCATACTACTTAACTTTCGTTCTTCTGAGAAGCATCCATGTCGAATATTGTCATGGTGCATGACCTCGTCTTGGTGGTAGGATGTCGAGGTGAACCGCACTTGACGCGCCAAGCTATGCAATCATAGACAATCGGAAGCTTGAGATGCATTTGTTGACTGGAAGGGTCACTGAAAGAGCATTTGTCGATTCGGTTTCGTTGTGTGAGCTTGCAGACGGCCGGTGCCTGAGGATGATCCCTGATAAACCTTGGAGATCCGAACCAAAAGTGAGGATCATACTACTTAACTTTCGTTCTTCTGAGAAGCATCCATGTCGAAGATTGTCCTGGTGCATGACCTCCATCCTCGAACTATTTCACTGCGTACTCTGTTTCGGGATGCGCGGTATCCTGGCATTGTGATGGTGGCCAGAAGTCGAGTGTGAACCGCAGTTGACATATGCTCTCCAAACGTGACGGTGGTGCATGCTCCAAGGTTCACAGGAATCACTTCGCGGATTGTGGAGGCGCGGCCTGATCAGAGAAAAAACCCTTAACAGACGATGCTGCTGAGTCCCAAGGCCGACCACCAAAGCCTAATGAATAATATACTATAATATACTATAACATACTATAATATACTATAATATACTATAATATATATATATATATATATAGAATATACTGTAATATATTATAATATACTGTAATATACTATCACCCTAAGATCTGGGAAAGGTCCAGCTGTCCTGGCGGCCACGGACTGCCGGGCAGTCTTGCAGGAGCGATCAGGGAGCTTTTGTTGCCCGGTGTCTCGATACTTAGGGTTTAGGGTTTAGGGTTTAGGATTTAGGGGTTTAGGGTTTAGGGCTTAGGGAGTTTCCGAAAATAGGGGTACCATACTCAGGGGTCCTTACAAACAGGATCCTATTATTTAGGGTACTATATTAGGGTCCGCTATTTTCGGAAACTCCCATACCGCTACACTGGTTGTTCAATGAAACTGCAACAGGGTTTCGCAACCTTTGAGCAATAATCCTCACAGCCCTTCTGAAGAGTTCTGCATGAACATCAGGCCATCAAGTCAAAGCAACCTGAGTTACATGTGCTAGCGTGAAGCACTGGTAGCATCGATGATGGTGATGAGCGGCTGAAAGAAGGGAGGCATTCTTCAGTCAGCCTCTGTGAATTGGGGTCTGAAGGGTTTCGTCGCGAGAATCTGCCAGCAAAGCAAGCCACATGACGGCAGGAGAACGACATCCGGGAATGCCTGTCCGGCGTGCGCATCATCGGAAAGCAGTCGGTTTGATTCTCAAAGCGCTGTGCAAGCTATCTACTTCATCTTGCCTGTAGGCTCTCATTGCACATGTAGAATGTAGATGACACCCAGCTCGGCCACTGTCCACCGAGGAAATTCAGATGCGACCAGGAAATCGCCTCCTCCACAACGGCCTGTGCGACGAGCACCAAGTTGAGGCCAGCAAACCTTCAGTCTCGTATGCTTTGGCCACATTTGCATGGGCTCAGGCGCCGCCCGGAGTTTGACCGGCATGTTTGAACTATGGGTGATTCAAGTTCAGTGTCAGAGAAGCAGAGCTTTCCTGGAGCCAGGTCATTCCCAGTGGTTCGACGGCCACGGTTTGAAGCCCAGAGTCTTGTGTGGTGGATTTTGGTCCGTCAATCTTCTTGAAAGCATTTGAGGTGAGAAGCTGCCGCCCCTACCCGTTTCTGCCTGGCACCCATTAGAATGGACGCGAGTTTTGGATGAGCTTCGACCGCAGACAGACTGTGCAACGAGGCCCAAAGACCCGCAGGAGCTTCTCAGGCGCATGCGGACGTGCCGGGAGCATGCGGAGCTCGTGACTCTGCCTGGCTAGTAAGAAAATCTCAAGTTCTTGTTGAAGCCAAGTGTCCTGACAGCTTGTGGTCATGGGCTTTAGTGGAGGCAGCCTTCCACCCAACGCACAACTGGATGACGGTCTAGAAATGTCAAAACTTTTGCTTAGCTTGGAGGAACTCGTATGTTCCAATGCAAAGTCTGAGGCGATTTTGATGCGATCTGCTCGCCGAAGAGGCCTGCTGGCGCAGGCCATGCCTACAACCTAAGATGTCATGCCGACCTCAGAACCTCGACAAATTCCTGCTGCGTAGGCTTACCGCGCCAACCGTCGGCTGACAAAGCTTCGTAAGGTGTGGGGCTTCTTGTGACCTGTCGCTGTTGAAGCTGCAGCCATGCCCTGCACAGCGAGATTTGCCAGGGGGCGCACAAGGCGCCTCCCCCTAGGGCTTCGCCCGCAAAGAGGGAGGTGTTGGTTGTCGCGAAGGCGATCTCAATTCAGCGCTGTTTCGTCCCTCTGGCAAGAGCTGACAAGTGCTGGTAGGCTTGGGATGGTCCCGGCATGGGCTTCGGTCAGCAGTCCATCTCTGTGGAGCTGGGCGAGCTCTGCGAGGCTCCGCTTGGCTTTGTGTTGGCCCGGTGGAGCTCTTTTGCACGAAGAGGTCCTGCGCCGCGATGCAAGTGGATGGATTCTGGTGTCGACGTACGGACCTCAGGTCTGATGTGCAGCTTCGCAAGTGACATCCCGGCTAGGGGTGAGTGGATGTTTGGTAACTACAGTGAGCGTAGTTCGGTGCAATCAGCACCTGAAGGTCAAGACAATCTCGTGGTTGGTCAGCCCGTCTTGTGTTTCTTTAAACTCTTGCTCAACTAGAGCCCTTTTGATGTTGCCAAATTCACTATTCACTATTCGCTGCTGCCAGGTGCAGCCCTCATGTCTTTGGCTAGTCGCTCGCGAGTTGGCAGCAGCCCACCTCGGAGAACTTCCTGGCAGATCAACGGTGCGGCCGCGGTGGTTCGGAGGCCCACATCCACGACCGAGGTCAGAAACAGGCCGAGTACCGGCGCATGGAAGGCTTCCTTGGTAAGAAGCTCTTCGAGAACATCGTGGACGACTCTGCCGGGACACATGTGGAGCAGCGGTCTGACCTGCGGCGGACGGGGATGTGCCGAAGAGAGGCTTATAGGCTCGTCCATGTGTTCGAGTCCTGTGTTGAGAATTGATTTTTCCGTCGTTGTTTTTGTTGCACCTGTTGCTGTTGCTGTTCTGTTGTTGAGACTGTAAGCAGTTGATTGAGCGGGCGTGAGAAACAGCTTGAAGGTTTGCAGTGCCATGCAGCATTTTGCAGCGATAGGGGATGCTTTGCACTTGTGTCGAGTCGCGTCTTGACCGCAGCCAGCCAGGCTATAGCCGCGTCAGAGTTTCGGTTAAGGACGCATGATATATGCACTGTCCAAGTACACCTGTGTGTGCATCAGCCTGTGCGTAATCAGCAGTGGTGTGAAGCCAGCAGGCAACTTGAAGAACGAAGCACCAAGAAGGGAAACACTTCAGCATGCTCCAGCACTTAGTACTTATGAAGTCCTACCGTCCTACCTGTTTCTGTGGAGCCGTCCTCTTGGATTCGGTTTCAGCTCGCAGTTTTCTCGGCCTGGCATGCTGGATGGAGCCGATACAGATCTGCCAAAGAGTGTCAGGCCCAGACCGCTTCGCAGCCTAGGGCCTAGAGGGGAACCACGAAGTTATTAGTTGTATTGTTGTATCATATACATTGTTGGTTTTAAACAAACCATTAGTAGTACAGTAGTAGTAGTAGTAGTAGTAGTAGTAGTAGTAGTAGTAGTAGTAGTAGTAGTAGTAGTAGTAGTATACTGTTATTGTTGTTATAACCATTAGTATTGTCTTCAGGCAGAAGCCAGGTCCTAGCGAATGTTCATTGAGGCAGAAGCCAGGTCCTAGCAAATGTTCAGGTCACACAGGCGGTGAACCCTGTTTCTTCGGTTCGGGACTGGACTATTCATGCCAGAGACAAATTCTCTCGTTCTATAACTCCTTTGAGTTGAGAGATTTCAAGAATCGTGCGCCGCAGTCCGGGCTCAGGTTGCAGTTGCGTGGGCATTCGAAGTTGTGCACTTTGCCAAGATCCGGCAGTCAGGAAGGTGCGGGTTTTCTCTGCAGTGCTTAACGTTGGCAGATGCGACCCGGGGATTGGCAGACCAGGCCCATGGTCTTCATCCCGTCCGTGCTGAGTCCGCTCCTTTTCGCGGGGGCCAGGGCTATTCTGGGACAGAGTGCCAAGAGCTGCAGGCTCCCAGCATGCAGGGCTATCTTCGACTTGGAGGAAGCAAGCTGCAAAGGCCGACGACATGTATGATCGGTGCAGCCTCGACTCGCAGCTTGATGTTCAGCAATCTGTCGCTGGGACTGTGTGCTTGACCTTCTATCGAACGTGCATCTCACACTGTGTGAACTGCGCCGGCCACTGTTCCAGGACGGAGTTGCGGATTTGGCAGCCGTAGATAAGAAGCAACATGGATAGGGACGCTGCGCATGCCTGGGCCGGGTGATCCAGAGTGACCCTTCAGCACCAGTATATCCGATGCTACAGCATGAAAGCCACCCCGCTCAATGCCGGACGAGAAGTGATGATAAGAAGCAGAAGATGTCCTGCGGAGTGCATGAATGAAGCAGCAGTAGCTTATGTTTTAGATCAGAAGAACAAGGGTTCGCCCACATTGCAAGCCATGTCGCCCGATTCTTAGGCAAATTGAGTGCCGGTGAAGTGGTACGGATCCAGCAAGCGTCGTCCGAATTCGACGGGCATTTGCCCAATTCACTTACTATAGAGGCCTTAGTAATTAGAATAGGGACTTTGGAGCCCGTTATACTATAATCATGAATAATCATACTATAATTATATAAATATACTATGGTTATAACAAGGACCCCCCCAAACATGCCCCTATTTGAGGTCGATCTTCTTCGACAACCACCTAGCTCTCCGGGATGCTTCGCTTCCTCCTCAGATGAAACGGAAAATTAGGGGTACCTTTAAAGGGATCCTTGTATAGGGTTCCTTAAAGAGATCTTCAAGGTTTCAAAAAAGGGTTTAGGGTTTAGAGTTTCCGAAAATGAGGGGTACCCTTAAAGGTATCCTTATATAGGGTTTCTTGAAGGGATCTATAAGGTTTCTATAAAGGGTTTAGGGTTTAGAGTTTCCGAAAATTAGGGGTACCTTTAAAGGGATCCGTATATGGGTTCCTTAAAGGGATCTATAAGGTCTCCATAAAGGGTTCAGTGTTTAGACGGTTTAGGTTCTGAAAATTAGGGGTACCTTTAAAGGGATCCTTATATAGGGTTCCTTAAAGAGATCGATAAGGTTTCTATAAAGGGTTTAGGGTTTGGAGTTTCCGAAAATGTCGGGTACCTTTAAAGGGATCCTTATATAGGGTTTCTTAAACGGATCTATAAGGTTGCTATAAAGAGTTTAGGGTTTAGAGTTTCCGAAAATTAGGGGCACCTTATTTTGGGTGCTTACAAAAAGGACCCTACTATTTGGGGTAATATACTAGTGTCCCCTATATTCGGAAACTCCCAAAAGTGAAATTTGCTGTCAGGCCACGTGCTTTCCCAGCAACACATGCGTGCGGATGCGTTTGTTTGACCTGGGTTTGAATTCAATAAACATTATATATATATATATATATGTATAATATCTGTCTATCATCCGTCCATCCATCCATCCATCCATCCATCCATCCATGCATCTAACTGTCAATGAACCAATCAATCAATAAATCAGTCAATCTATCTACCGATCTGCCTACCTGCCTGTCCGTCTGCTTGTCTGTCTGTCTTTGTCTGTCTCACATCAGCAACAATACACATAGCATGTTAGTGGCTCCGGACTTGCATCCGCGATCCGAGGTCCGTTCGGTGCATCGCTTGGAGCTGGGGTGAGGACTCAGCCTGAAAGATGGGCTAGAGGAAAATGATTCTGATCGCAGGGCTCCTCGGCAACGGGGTAACGAACTTACTTGGAGAAGGGTATCTCGAAGCCTAAGTGAGAAAAGGACCTCAATCCTGAAAATCCTGAAGCACACACCTGAACCCTGATGCAGGACATGCCTTTGCTGGCAGTCGCTGAAGGAAGCTGCCTGCGAATATTTCGCGAAGAAGGCCTGGGGATCATTGGGGATCATGCCTGCCTGCAGGGTACTGACGACGCTAGGAGCCACAATGTACTGCAGGCTTTGGCAGTAAACACGCTCAGAAAGATGCCTCTATATATATGTATACATATATATAGGTATATATATATGTATATATATATATATATATATGTATATATATATGTGTATACATATATATTTATACACACACACACCATTGGTACAGTTAACTATCTCTATGTGCTTGTGTGCAATTATGTATACATATATATATATATATACAGTATACACCTGTATGTATGTGTGTGTATATAACGCACACACACACACACACACGCGCACACGCCAACTTTTGTGCCCACTGTGTATGGGCGTTCTACTTCGTACGAACGCCCACACATATATGTGTGTATATTCATGCTTCTGTACAAATATTTCAGTGTTCATCAACGTAGTTATCTATTTGTGTGCACAGGTGTCTACGGTGTCTACAAGTCTACGTAAAACATACCGAGCCACAAGTGTTGAGTTTTTTCAATATACTTAAGTAGACCAAGGAACGATGACTAACTATACAAACACATTGTATAGTATAGAGATGCACACCTGTATTATTCACTCCCTGGTTCAAACCAGCGTTACATAACATGACATGGTAGCTTGTGCCACACTTGCAACTACATGGCATCACCTTCTGTCATACATTTCTCAGCATGTATTACACGCTCTGAATCCAGATATCATGAAAATGTCACGAAAGCATTGTACTGCGTGTTGTGCCCTTTGATTGTTCTGTGACCGCACTTCTGCTGCACATTATTTTCGTGCTTTGTATTCGTCCATGCCGGCGTATACACCAATCACCGTGTACTGGTAGCTTGACAGCCTTTATTAATCGAGAACTAGACATACACAAAAGCCTATCACATACCTGTTTATGTACATAGGTACTTACGTACTGACAGACATACGTACATGACAGAGGGTTCAAAAACAGCATAACCTATCAACCAATAGTGTATTAAGTGTACTACTTCACTATGATGTTGTCAGCATAATAGGGACTTGGACCTGAACGAGAGTATATACAATAGAGGAACGGTAGACTGTGGTACGATGTAACATCATACAATGCATCGAAAGACGTTTTATGCTAGCTCTGCATTCTCGCAGCATGGCAACTAATTAAATCGGAGACGGAAAGTATAATGTGTATACAGCATACTGCATGGAACTACATCAAAGTATTAAACGCAGATTTTCAGGTTCACATGTGCAACACCCCTTCGCATGTGCTACAGGTTGCATGTAACTCCCAACATCTATCACAAGAAGCAAAATTCATGAACTACAGTTGCTAGTGCAAGCTTTAACATATGATTTCAGTGCATGGTACATGTTATACAGCATTCTCCACTCTATGCTTGTATGGAGATATAGCTGGAGGGGCTACAAGCTGCATGGCAATTAGGTTTCAGATATTATGTATTGCTTACTGTTTGCTTTCCGCGAAATAGCATGTCACACGGCTTAAGACTGACCTACAGTTCTGAACGAGACCTATGTTGTGTCGCAAGCCGGCCTGGAGAACAAAGCCAGTGCGCACAGTAGCTGACCGTTTAGCTCATGGTGCTTCCGTGCCGGGCTCAAAAAGATCATATCTTCCCAGCATATGCCAGCAGTGGCGGCTTAGAGGATTGCCGCGACAGAAAGCCTTGCGAATTGAGCACATCCTCCCAATCGCTACGGAATCATGTTCAAGGCCACGGCCTTTACTTCGGCACACAGTGACTGGGACACTGCCTCCAGCATGGCATCACCGGCCCTTTGTAGCCATGCTCCGTGAGACACTCAGGAATGCATTTCACCTGCTGCTTCGGCTCCCCCGCTTCTTCCTTGGTAATGAGGGTACGATTGCTTGTATGGCATGCGCTTCTCCTGCTGCTGCCGACTACTGGCGAAGTTGATTATGCTACTGGTGGTAGAAAGGTGCTCATGATGATGACGACGATGATGTTCATGATGACGATGATCATGTTGATGATGATGACGATCATGATGATGGTGACGACGATGATGCTGTTGATGATGGTGCTAATGAAAGAGACGCTGATGGCAGCAACAACGTTGTTTTTGAATTTGAGATGACGGTTGTGATGACAGAGGTGGCGATACGGATGGTCTGACTATCAGGGCCATAACTGCTTGAGATGCCGCATCATAGTAGTGAGCTGATGACGACGAGAGGTGTTTTCAAGAGCAGCATATCGAGCTGTGACACAAGCTTCGATCTCAGGCTGGGCAGCTCCAAGCCAAAGTCGCGCCTCGTCCTAGCTCTCCTGGCGATGATTTGCTGGCAGATGAGCTGGTGCCCATGGGGGCAGGTTCGTTTCCGCATGCGCCCTGTGACTTTCCTGATGGTGCAGGCATTCAGTGAGTGCCTTCCTTCCTGGAATTCAGGCCGGCTGCGCATCGACATGTCACATCGGCGGTTCAGTTGCGTTATTCCGTGATCCCAGGGAAGACGGCTGGCCATTCAGGCTGCATTGGTTGGCCTGGCGCCACAAGCAGCCAAAGCCGAGGCGCTACCACTCACTAGCAGCCACAAGCAACATCCACGAAGCACACATATCCGTTTATCCCAGAAGACTGGGTGTCCAGGAGGGAGCTCCTGTGAAGAAGGGCGGCAGGGCATCCAAGCTGGCGGCCCCAGAAGTCCCGCGAATCTCAGCCTGCACCTCTTCCACACGTAGTGGCCGAGGTGGTATGGGATCTACGAGGACCCGAAGCACCCCGCATGTGATCGATCCATCGTCATCGCTTTCGATGGGACTAAGGGCCCCAGACTCAGTGACGCAGCGCGGTGGGTTGCCCAAGCGGGTTCTGTCACGAAAGCTAGCTCTGTTGAGCTCGCGGGAGTTGCCCTTTAGCAATTTTCACTTGGTCTACCTTGTATTTAGGGCAAAACCAGGGCTTACACCTTATCAGGTGGGACGTCCAAGAGTTAAGGTGGGGGGAGGGGGGGAGGAGGGGCCGCCCCCCCCCCCTCACCTCGCTCATGAAGCATTTTGAAGAGACAAGGTGTGGTTTCCCCCCGCCTCCCCCCCCCACCTTTAAGGTTGCGGCGCGTGGGACAAGGTGGGGGGGGGGCTCCCCCCCCCCTACCCACAGGTCCCCCCCCCCCTCCTTCCACAAGGTCCCTGAGTTTGCTTGTGTTTGAAGTTTGTCGTTTGCGCTGCGTGCCCCAATTGCTCGCAGCTACGCTTCCTCTCCCCTAGCTTTCGTGGCCCTCTTCTCAAGTTCTGCTGAGGGAAGATCGAAGGCTACGACTTGTCCGGTGCCGGTGACGAGGGCAAGTTCAATTGCCGGAAGCGCAGGGATGTGCAGTACTACGCTGCTTGCCTGAGACCGACCGAACTTGCATTGTGCAGAAGTCATAAAGCAACCTTGCTCATGTGTTTTAGAGGTCAGAGGCGGTAATCAAAGGCTCTGGCCCCGGTTTTCATCCAAGGTCGCCCCTGTTCTTCGGTTACTGCTAAATCAGGAATACTGCTGATTTGTCTTTCCTCTGCTAGCTTTTCCAAGGATTGGTCGCTGAAGGTCAGTCTGGCCAACAAAGATTCCAACGAGCTCGTGGTTGAACAAGCAGGCAGGGATATTGTGGACCGCAAGCGCATCGGCCAGCCGTCAGAGGTAATCGGAAAGTGGGACGGCGATGGTATCCTATGGCCAGATGGCACCAAGTGGACCCAAAAGAGATGGGAGCGATGAGATTTGCGGGATCCGGAGCTTTTTCGGCCGCCTTGCAGGCAGAACTCCACATCATTACGCGGAAAGATCCTAGTCCTAGTCTTTGTGCTTGGAAGGGGAGCTTCTAAAGACAGGCGAAAGAAGCGAAAAAGTCACTCTGGCTTCCGCACTGTCGACGAGCTGCCTGCTCGCCTTTTGCAATCTCTACGCCAAGCTGAAGCGCAAGCGATGCAAACGTTCCGAAGCCTGAAGTCAGGCGAAGAGCTTCCAGACTTTTGTCAAACAAGACCAGTGCAGCACCGACCCTCAGAAGAGTATCAACCTGCAACTCCCATTCCGGAAGGGTCAAGCAATGCTTGCATGTCAATAAAGGTGTACAGCCCTTGCCTGGCATCCCAACTCCAAGGCCATCTGCAGCTTTTTGTCCAGCTCTCGTGAGAGCGAAAATGCAGGGAGGGACCATGTCCAGGTGCTCGCTGCAGGATGGGAGGACGGCCGGGACCTCCAGCGGGGAGATTGATTGGTAACATGTCGCGGCTGCAATGGAAACGTGTGGAATATGGACAGTTGCTTGTATTGTGTTGCAAGAGCCGTGCCGTTTGCCATGCGGTTGCTGTCCATGAGGTGCGGTGACTTTTAGCGGGCCTGCCTGCAGCAGTGCTCGAGACGATCGGGAAGTGTCCCTGACAGCAAGGAAGATGCATACTTACGCCATGTGAGTCCTGGGTTCTGTGATGCAACCTCGGTTCACCCAGGTCCATAGAGACTCCCGCATCATGAGCATCACCTTCAATCCGCATGGCACCAGATGCGCCAGGGCCTCTAGCCCTTGAAAGCTCTCGTGATATGCTTGCACTTTGGAAGTTCACAGGTGACCACGGACAACAACGGCGTTGTCGGAGTCTGGAAAACCGACATGAGAGGTTTGTGCAACCAGATGTGCCACTACAGGACCTCTCGCCTTGCCTGGGGTGGGGGGGAATTGAAGGTTACGGGGGCAGCTTCGAGGCTAAGCCTAGCGAGTGTCAAGCATGTTCCTGGAAGGAAAACTGGTGCACATGACAAAGTGATTTTCCGAACCATGACACCATCAGGCAGGGTCAGCGTGCTTGTCTGGTACCGAAGTGGCAGTTCGCCGACGTCCCCATCGCTTAGGCGAGCCAAACCTGGACAACCCGCCCTTCTTCTTCGGTGGTGAGCAAGGCCAGCAATGCAACTTTAAGCTTTAGCACATCTCACTTGAGCCACCAGGTATCATCTATCTTGCTGATGATTTTGGCCTTTGCTCTGAACGGTACAAGATCGGTTCGCCGCTGCTGTTGCTGGAGTACTATCGCGAGAAGGCCAGACCAGGCTTGACGAAGCCCCTAAGCTCAAGCGAATACAAACCGAGACGCCTGTTTGGTCGACTGTCGTTCTAGAGTCTGCTAGCCATCGCTTCTTTTGAGGCAGGTGTGTCAGCCATGACTTGTTTAGGCGTGGCAGAAGTTGCCAGTCGCCGTGTTGGGATTCGTCAGCAGTTGGTTCTTGTCAATTCTCGTAAGCGCAATTATTCGATTCATGGTCTAGGGTTTGGCATTCTAGGGTTCACCAGTTGCTAGGATTCCATGTCAGCGAGGGCTTGTCTGCACCATGTTTGAGGGTGAAGGATTTTTTGGCAGCCATCTTTTCCGAATCCCAACCAAGCACTCCTTGCGTTTGACGGGTCGCCGATGCTCCGTTGAGGGTGTAGGGTTTGCCCGGCTCCATCGCAGAATGTTTGAGGGTCTAGGGCCTGATAATTCAAGGGTTTCATGTTGAGAATCTGGCAGTCATCACCCAAGGATTTGCAGTAAGCGCTCGTTTTAGGTTTAGTTTCGTCCTGTCATGCATGTGAGGGTCTCGGGATTGGCAGCCGCCATTGAAGCCTAGCATGCGCCAGTTTACAAGGCACGGTTCTAGCAATCGCCAACGTTTGAAGTTTCGGTCGTCATGCTATTTGGTATATGGTCCTCCAGCTGCACGCGTCCAGCTTCCGTTCCACAATCATGCCTTTGCGGATCTAGGATTGGACAGCACGCCGTGTTTCACACATTTTCAGATGCAGAGTCTGCCGTCGTGGGTTTCAGAGTTGAGAGTTTGGCGGCAGCCACGTTCTAGGATTCGCCAGCAGTCCTTGCTTTCCAACCTCGCCGCAAGTGCCCCTTTTCAGGCTTCCTGTCCCTCATGATGATGGTTTTGAGGTTTTACGGTCTAGAGTATGCCAATCACCGAGATAGAATTCGGCATGTTCAGCTTTCGCCGTCATGCAGTTGAATCATATCAAACTGACAGGCTCGTTAGTTTCTAGCAGCAGCAAACGACCCTTGTCTGGTTTACTGTCAGTGATCTCCGGGTTTGCCAGACATCTGGGAGCAATGGTTCCAGATTCAGTGTTGGCCCTCATGCGTTTGGGGGTTCGGGGTTTGCTTGTCACCATTCTTGGGATTTGCGACCAAGTTCTGGATCTTCTAGATGCTCATGGAAATTTCTAGAAGCAGTGCGCACCCGTGTGAAGGATGTGGTCGTTCTTGTCACGACGAATGTGATCCTCGTCCAGTTCTCGCTCTCTGCAGACGGGAAGGACGCTTGTCGAGAACGGTCTCTATTCCTTGCACTCCACCGGTCTTCGAACGATCTCGAAAGTTTTTGCTTGAAAAGAAAGTAACAGCTTCCCTCTCACAAAGGTCTCCAACGAGTCCAAGCTGAAGCTCTCTTGCGGGCCAAGCCCCGAAAAGCTTCAAGGCTGCTGGGCGCGAGCCTCAGACATGTAGCCATGGTGCGTATCTTGCTTGGGCACCGCGTACGCTTAGAGCCAAGTAGACATAAACTTACAGGCACGCTGGTGGCAAGTGCAGGTGCTGTAGAGTCTACCGATGTCTACCGCGATCCCTCTGGGTAGTCGCCGTCTGGGCTCAAAAGTGCCTACATGTCTGCGACACTCGGCTAGGCGGGCTTGCCTCCTGTGCAGTGGAGCCGGGGCTGAGCAGGGATTGAGTCGACTCTGTGAGGAGGCTTGGTGTATGAAAGACGATGCAGCAAGCAGCGCGGTCATTGCGGTTGATGTGACCCGGGAAGATGCGGAGTCTCCCGTTCTAGCAGAGCGTTCTGGCGAGAACGAGGAGCAGGATGAAGGCTCCGAGATCGAAGAGGAAGTTGGAAAGGCCGGGCTCTGTTTTGCCGCGGGGCCGTGGCTTCCTTGCGAGACGGCTGTGGGGTCGCCTAAGGAGTCCAGCATCGTGGCGGAGTGGCTCAGCAGCACATTAGATTTCCCAGGCGACCATGGTCAACCATAAGTGATTGAACTTTCGCCTCGCAGATGTTGGCCCCGGACGGTCAGCCTTTGGGTGGGTGGGTGGGGTGGGGTAGGCTTGGTGTTGGCCAGGTTTTGTGTAGGCGTAAGCACTGGTCAAGGTACTTCCCGGGAAATCTCGACGAGACGCCGACGAGTGCCAGCGATGGCCTGAGCGGCGTACTACTTGTAGGCTACCTTGTCTGTAGGTGCGGAGGACAGGGTGTTGCCTGCATCCCTTTTTTACAGCGGCTTTTCAGGAAATGGCTACCTCACCGAAAGGTCTGACCGGTTCTCCATGCTCTCGGTTGCAGGCTCTTCGGATCAGAATCCCTGTGCATGTGGTGGACACTCATACTTGCTACAGACTTGATGTGCAGACGATGCTGCGATGCCGGAATCTTTGCCGATTCTGCTTGTGTTGCCTCCCGGCTGCACTGTAGTGATCGTGTGAAAGAAGAACGAGCTAAGAGGATTTCGTGCTGCTAACTTGAGGTTTGCATGTATCATTGCAGCGCTGTTGGGAGCCCTTGTGGCCGGTCTCCACACCATGATCAAATACGTCGGCTGTCCGCTTGGGACAAACGGCTGCAACAGCTTTTCAGGCCAACGTTGCACCGGGCCGCAGCTGGGAATCGCGATCATGACGTCAGCCCTGCAAGGCTACGAGTATGAAAAGAAGGGCTTCCTGTTGATCAAAGCCCTGGACGGACATGTTCCCGAAGCCGCTATCAATGTCCTGATGGCGATGGTTTGCATGTTGGTCAGGTGCTCAAGTCTGAAGTCCGGAGTTGGTTAAGGACCATCTCTCTAGACTGCTCAGACGGTGAATGCCAAGGCAATCGGTATAGTCGCGGATGTGTTCCCTGAGCGCTATGGGAAACAGGCACAGAGTTTGCTACAGTATGCTAGAGTTGAGTGTGACACCGCTGCTGTCGAAGCTTTGCTGTCAGAAGCAAAGTACGGACCGGAGCATGTATCAGTTGTGAGAATTGAGCTGGAACGCCGTCGTGATGCGTTTTTTGAGAACTCGGCAGTTTCACAGTGGCCCCGTGAACTGACATAGACTACTTGGAGGTTCATGAGTAGTTATAGGTTGAGTTATAAGTCCCTTAATATGGGTTATAAGTATAGTTACCCTACTTTTAACCCTAAGCCCTACTTATAACTACAGTACCCATGAACCTCCAAGTACTAGCAGTCTGCATCCAGCATTGCAGGTCCTCGGAGGCGGCACAGTGCAATCGCTTCTGGCGGTTGCTGCTGGCATTCCCATAGCCTTCAGAACCTGCATTGCATTTTTTGAAGATTCGCTGCCGCATTGCGGCATTTCTTGGATGCAGATCGCAGCTGAGGATGTGCAGCTCTCCGGGTTGTGATCATGGCATTGTACTTCGCTGGGGGAGGCCGAAGCTTCCCATCGAAGTGAGAGAAGCTGTATACAAGCTCTGTTGGCGCTCACCGCCAGCTTGCTGTGAGGCACCATGGGCGGAGATGGGCCTACAATCCAGGTTTGCACTGCAGTGGCTGGTATGATCGGATGGGTATGCGGAATTCGAGCCCCGCGAACGCAGTCCCTTCTAGCATCGCGTCCGCAGACAGGATTCAAGAACAGGAGCAGCTCACAGAACTACAGTAGAGTTCCCCAAAATTAGCGGGCCGAGTAGGGACGCGCTGCAGCTGAGCTACTTCGGCTCGGCTAGGCATCGTTGGGCTTTTGCTGCGGCTTCGCCTCGAGCTTCAATGCTCCGCTCTCCGGGATCCTTTTTGCCATGGAGGCGTTCCGCAACTCGTTGAAGACTTCTTGGATCCTTGATATTCTGCAGGAGCTCTCGCACGTGTCGTCACGCTTGACGACTCGTGTGATTTGCATCATCCTGATTGGTTCCATCGTCTCCACGGCAGTGTCTCGGAAGCATCTCCTGCGAAGCCGCGTGCAGCCCACCGACCTCCTGGAAAGGTCATGCGTGGACTCCTTGAGAACAAGGTGTTGTTCAAGGCGGCCTACCCAGACAATCTCGAAGACATGGTGGCAGGCTGGGTTTGGCAAGTGGAGGGCTTGGCCAGCCTTTTGTGGTATGTCATTTGCCAGGGGGATCGATTGAAACAATCTTTGGAAAGAGCATGTGGATGCTAGTGTCCATTGCCATTGGTGCCTCGGATATTTGGGCGCCAGCCTTCATCTGCACTTGCACCCTCCCGCCTTGGAAGCACATCTGAGGCTTGCTCTGCGCGTTTGTCGGATATATTTTTCACAAGGCTGAGCCAGTGCATGAAAGCAAAAAGCTGGATGAAAGTTGCCGCCATTCATCTCGTCAGGGTTTCGCCTTCACCCACTGGCTCCTCACGAAAAAGGTTTATGAATGCTGCCCAAGATATTTGGCAGAGTGGCAGCATTCGGAGCGGTTTAGGGCAGAGTAGAGAGGTCATGTCTTGAGCTCGAGGTCTTTATGATCCTGGGTGGGATGACTGCGGGTATTGGAGCCTTGGTCTTCCACCTCACAGGCTCGCTTTGCAAACTACAGCTTCGCCCAAAAAATTACCCGTGTTTTGAGCTGATCTCAAATGGTTTCTCTTGCAGAGGTCTTCGTGGTGTTTGGGGAATCGGCGTCAAGGATCTGGGCGAAGTCCTTGTGCAGAACCCAAACATACAGGCCTCAGCTACTGTAGAGACCGCTGAAGATGACTCACTCCAAGTTTTCGAGTTCCAGGCCATCGATTTGTTGATTTTCGCCCTTGGCAAGCTCGGGGCTTTCATGCTTGGGGTCTCCGCGCGCTTCCCGGGCGACACCTTGGAGCCCGTCTTGATCTCTGGTGGGTTTATCGGAGGCTTCGTGGGGAAGGTTCTGCCTGACTCCGTGCTAGGGGAGGAGGCCAATGCCGCCTGCGAGATCTTTGGCATGGTGGGGCTCTTTGCGAGCTGCTTCAGATTTCCCTTGACTCCGGTGGTCATAGTGTCGGGCACCAAGTTGACAAAGCACAGCTACGGCAAGTGTGTTTTAAATGACCATGCGGCAGAAATGAGTGAATTTTCGTTCAGGCTCGAGCTGACGGGGACCCGCACCTACAACATCATCTTGCCCGTGGCCTTATCATCTTTCACGGCCCTGGCGGTCTCCAACCATCTCTTCCCTCCCATCCTGGAGCAGATCCTGCATCAGGTGCTAGGAACTTCTGCAGTAGTAGCAGATACGCAGATATGCAGATGCCGTGTGTCTTGTGCAGGATGGCATTGACCTGGAAGCAGTTGCCGAACTGGCTGAGTTTGCTGACGATGAAGAGCTCAGTCTCTAAGACGCAGAATAACACGTGCTTTGCTTCAGCAGCACAGCTTCAGTCCTGCGGATACAAGGCATGCGAGATTTCGAGGAGGCAGAAGCCCGAAGTGTGGGAAGCCACAACGAGAAGCAGATGGAGGGCGAAGCCTCCCAAGATGGATCGCACTTCGAGACGAAGAGGAGACCTTTTTGGGAGTTTTCGAGAATAGGGGACCTTTTTATAGTACCCCAAATAGTAGGACCCCCCGGTGATAGGTGTAGAGATACGATGATGCGTGCTAGTGGGAGCAAGAAGGAGAGGCAAAGGAAGCGGTAGGAGTGCTACAGACATGCCTTGAAGGCCGTATTAGCAGTTTTTTACAAGGATTGCACAGGTACTCGGAGAATGAAGGTAGTACCAGTTATTGGGAATAGCAAGAGCTTCGCCGCCGCAATAGTAACACCGGGCAAGAATGAGCAATAACAGCGAAGTCAAGAAGAGCATTATGCGTAGGAGTAGTAGCAAAAGGTCGTCGAATAAGAGGAGGAACAGGAGCAGAATGAGCGTGAAGTGCAAGAGACGTAGCAAGGATCATACGAGCGCCAGGCGAAACAAGCAAGTCACAGTAACGGGAGGAACAGGCGGCAAAGGTTATCGGCACTAAGTGTAGTGCCGGGGATAATGCCGGCCATACATTGCATAAGATGTAAAGAGAGTACGCAGGCTGTATTCAATAACAACAAACGCACAGCAAATGTAGACTGAGTTGTAGACTGAGTTGTGCAACCAAGCCACAGGACGAATTCGATGGAATCGTGGGGACAGCGGGCTGGTCGCCATTCGACCTTCCAGGTTGTCATCGGAAAACTGGAGGACCCTCTTGCTCGCGAGGAAGATTGAATGGAACCCGATAAGCCCTAAATCCTCAAACCCTGTTGCAGGAAAACATGTTTGATGTCTCCTCCCACGACCGCACGGATCGACGACGTGCCTCCGTCATGGAGCAGGTAACTTCACGTCGGGGCCTCTCCTTTGAAGTTGCAGCTGCTTTAGCTGATGCAGCCACTGCTGCCTCGACGGCTGTCGATGTCGCTGTTGCTTTACGGAAGTCGGAGCAGAAGTAGGCGCAGGAGCAGGAGCAGCATATTCTGCTACCCTTATCATTACCGAACACCAAATGTAGTTGTCGTTGCTGTTGCAGGGGTTGATGCATGCTGGTCTGCTTGCTTTCGGGGTACATTTCTGCTCGCGGAAAGTGCGTTTAACGGCGATTGAGCTATGGCTGATAGTATCCGCTTCTGCAAGTGCAAGTCAGAGTTGGAGTTTGGGATTTGTTCCGTTGTGGGCTTGAGCGTGCCTGTTGGGGTGTTGGGTTTGATGGTTTTGAAGCAAAGTTCACGATTAGTATGGGCAGCGGTGTACGATCTTCAGCAAAGAGCTCGTAACGCGCATGATCACAGTCCAAAAACTGTGCAAGGATGACTCGAGTGCCCTTGCCTTGATCTTGCGGCCCAGGCCTTTCCAACCACGGCTTTGTTAAGCACTTCTCCAGTGGTGGGGGCAGAGGCAGGAAATTGCTCGCGAGCTTCACAGCGCTTGCACGCTCTCAAAGTCCTCCTGCCAGGAATCCGCAGATTCTCTATGACTTCCAGTGGTGTACGTTCCGAAGAGCTGCATGCTTTGGAAAGGACTCTCTGGCCAAGACATGCAAAAGCTCCTCAGCATGCTTGTGCGGCTCTAACTTTCACGAAGTGCTGTTGCACCCAGCCAGCCGGGAGGAGATACTCGCACTCCTCCAGTGCCAGCAGCAGGACTCGCCTTACACAGCGACGAGCGGGGTGAGTTCTTGAGCCACGGAGCTTCCAGGAGAAGGGCCAGCCAGGCCAGCAGCCACGGCGGTCACGGCGGTCATCATGGCCACGGCCATGGCGGCCACGGCGGCCACGGCGGCCACGGCGGCCACGGCGGCCACGGCCACGGCCACGGGCACGGCCATTCCGGGAGGAGGCCGGGACCCGCGACGCGACACCTCGCCCCTTGTCACGGCCACCGAAGCGCAGGAACTCGCAAAGAGGTCGGAGGGCGTCAGGTCGAAGGATCTCCGCCCGGAGCCCTTCGAGTCGCTCGGCAAAAAGTGCCCGAGAGCGGAACGCGACTCCCAGCACCTCTGAGACTGAGGTGAAGGAGCACAGAACCTCTCCCCGAGACATGCTGGTGGGATGGCTTCATGTACGACCGAGCCAGGCAATAATTTCTAGGAAAGCCGCTGCCAGGACCTCCTCCTTCGACTCATGCTTTGCAAGAGAAGGTGCGGGATGCCTGCTGGCCTTGACACGTGGAGTTGGGAGTTCCATGGCTGCTGCTTCTCTCCGGTCCCCGAGGCGGAAAATCGGCCTTCTGTCGACGGCGAGGTCACCGCCATGTTCTCTGTGTGAGGCGCCGCGTCCGGGATGCCATCAAGTGCGAGTAGGCATGTGGCATGTCTGGGTCGATAAACACCAACGGGGGCCGGCCTCCGACAACCGGAATTGCGGATCAACACCAGACCATCTGGAATGCTTTTTAGGGGAATGCTTTTTAGGGATGTCCTGCATGAAGAACAAGCTACGGCTACTCTTGAAGGACACGGATATCCACTGCGAAGCAAGTCGACGTCTGTGTTGTCCTGTTTCTGCTTCGAGTCAGCGTCACTGCTTAGGCCGACGAAACCCTGGGTGTCTCCATGGGCGTCCCGACTCCGACTGACGTGCGTCTTCGCTGCCGGAGCAGCCCGCCAGATTTTTTAAAGCAGTGCTCCTTTGCAGTCCTTGCACCTGTTCCTCGCTGTTGAAACAGAGCAGCTCTGTTGAAACGGGTCACCTCGTTCGACTGCCAAGCAGCAGGACTGGGTGAATGTGTGCAAAGACCTTGCAAGACTGTACAGAGCAGAGCAGCAGAAGGCTTCGTCAGTCTAGATCTCTTGAGAAGGCTTTGGCCGTAGGCCAGTCTGACTTAATACCGCCCCCTTGCAGCAGAAAAGTAGTCCCCACAGTGGGATTCGGTAGAATAGCCGGCAGACCTAGATACGAAGAGGGAGGCTCTCGCACGAGACGCGGGGCAAAACACTAAGGCTGGACCGGGGCTGCTGGCAACTTGCAGCCACGAGAGTATAGTTAGGCTGGGGTGCATGCATATCACTGGCTGCCTGCAATCCAGTTCATTTTACATGATTTGGGCCCACCACCTGTTCCAGGTTATGGAATCTGGCCGATGATGAAAACTACATTCTCACGCTACAGGCACTTGCATGGGTCGGTCCTTTGTTCTGGCGTGCTGCATGTGATGTGGCGTGTCGACCGCAGGGCATTGATGAGCGCAACAGCCTCAGCGGGGACAAGGTGACCAGCATTGACTACAACCCTCGAAAGCAGGCCTGCCTCCTGGCGCCAGGAAAAGCCTTGTAGTCTTCGAATGAATTAACTACGTTTCAATACAGCACTTATGTCATCTCCAGTGGCGTCGTCGTTCTTAAAGCTTCCGAGCAATATCGGGCTTTTTTGAACTCCAAGACCGTGCCTGTGGTTTTAAGCACAGATCATCAAGATGCGTCAAGCAGGAGTTCACGCAGCCGGTTATCCGAAATCGCGAGGGTCATAGGCTTGTTTTGATGCGGCGGAGTGCTTGTAACTAGTCTGCGAGGGCAGAAGGCATGCATCGGTTGCGAAGGCGAGGCAGAGACAGTACGTCAGACTCCACGTTTTGATGTGGAGTTCCAACGACAACAGCCCTGGGCAGCTCGAATTGCCGAAAGCTCACAAAGAGCCGGCCGCGTGCTGTTCACGCAGATAGAAGTGTAATTCCGATCGGTGAGAGACATGCGATGCTGCGTGAAGTGCAGGTGCTGGCTTGTGGCACTCGGGGAGGGCGCATGGTCGGCATCTCGGAAGGTCAGCCCAACAACCTGCCAGGCACCTTTAGGTTCCTGCTTGCTGGTTGAAGTGCCGCAGTACGTGTGAGTCATGTTGTGTCCGACACTTGGGCTCGCCATAGGAACGAGAAAGGTTTTTGGTCTGGCGGCCTCGTGACGCCATGTCCATCAAGCTCCGTGAGCTAATCCGGAGCATCCGCGCATGCAAGACTGCGGCAGAGGAACGGGCGGTCATAGCAAGAGAATGTGCCTTGATCCGCACCGCCTTCAAAGAGGACGACAACCAGTTCAGACATCGGAATGTCGCAAAGTTGCTTTTCATTCACATGATGGGGTACCCAACCCACTTTGGTCAGATGGAGTGTTTGAAGCTTATTGCTTCGAGCAAGTTTCCCGAGAAGCGCGTAGGATATCTTGGTTTGACGCAGCTTCTGGATGAGAACACGGAGGTTCTCATGCTAGTGACAAACTCAATCAAAAATGACATGAGCAGCGACAATCAGTACGTCACAGGCTTAGCCCTCTGTGCTTTGGGCAACATCGGAAGCAATGAGATGTGCAGAGCCCTTGCCAGGGAGGTGGAGCAGATGATGACGTCCTCCAATCCATACCTCCGGAAAAAGGCAGCATTGTGTGCGATGCGAATCATTCGAAAGGTGGAAGAGATAGAAGACAAATTCAACGGTAAGATTGGGAACCTCCTCGAAGATCGCAACCATGGAGTTCTTCTTGCAGGCTGCTCTTTGCTGACTGCGCTCCTCGAGGTGAACCCTTCTTACGTCAGGGACTTCCGGCGCTACATCCCATCCCTAGTAAGAGCCCTTCGTAACTTGGTCACATCAGGCTACTCCAACGCTGCAGAGTATGATATTGCGGGCATCACGGACCCCTTCTTGCAGGCCAAAATCTTGCGACTCTTGCGCATCTTGGGGGAGAACAGTGTGGATGCAAGCGATGAGATGAACGATATCCTGGCTCAGGCTCACGGATTCATGCCATATTCGTCATACTTGTGTTTCATTTTGTGTCTTTGCTGCTCTAACTCACACACAGCCTGTTTTTGCCGTGCATGACTGCTGGCTGGCAGAGCCTAGCAGTGGACTGCCGTGGGCATGCCTGTTGTCAAGCCGTCATATCAACAAGAGTCGCCGCAGTAACTGAACGTTGGCAGCTAGTCCTTATGAGTTCCTTATGCGCTTCTCTCTGGTCATACTGTGAAAAGATTCATTTGGCTGGAATTGTTCCGCGTCCCAGTTCCATAGCCGCTCGCGTCCGAGTTCCGTACGCGCATTCTCCTGATGCTTTTTTGGTTGTGAAGTTCCTGTTGGATCCTGTCCTATATCGCCCATGTTTCCATGGTTCATGGTAAACTAGCCACACGTCGTGGTGATGCAGAAGTAACCAACCATAGAAGCATATGCTTGATTCATCATGTTCTATCGTTTCCGTGCAGTACACGACATGGTGACAGGTCGCCACCAACACGGAAGGCACCAAGAACACAGGAAATGCAATGCTGTATGAATGCGTCTTGACTATCATGTCCATCAAGGCAGAGAGCGGGCTACGAGTGCTGGGGATCAACATCCTTGGACGGTTTTTGTTGAGTCGGGACAACAACATCCGCTACGTAGCCTTGGCAACCTTACAGCGTGTCGTGAATGTGGACCAGCAGGTCATGCAGCGACATCGCAACACCATCATTGACTGCCTCAAGGATGCCGACATCTCCATCAGAAAGAGGGCATTGGATGTCACGTACTCCCTAGTCGACGAGTCCAACATAAAGAGCATGACCAAGGAATTGCTCAATTACTTGCTCGTGGCAGAGCCAGACTTCAAGGAGGAGCTGTGCAGTCGGGTTTGCCTCGCTGTGGAAAAGTTCTCCCCTAATCGAAGATGGCAGATCGACACGCTCATCAAGGTGATGTGCCTTGGAGGCAACTTCGTCAAAGAGCAGCAGCGAGAGAAGTTCTGCCGGGTTGTAGCAGCGACCCCTGAGCTGCACTCCTACACTGTCATCAAGCTCTACTTCAACATGAAGGAAAGCTTGACCCAGGAAGCACTCGTGCATGTAGGAGTCTGGTGTCTAGGGGAGTTTGGAGACCATCTGGTGTCTGGACGTGCGGTTGGTCCGGATAATCAGCCAATCCGCGTCACTCCCGGCGATGTGTTGGACCTCCTTCATGATGTGGTGCGGAAACCTCCTATGGGTGAGAAAGCATCTGCAACACACTGCCTGGTGGCTGCAGCACTGATCAAGCTCGTGACTAGATGCCCGAGTGAGTTTGACCGAATCAAGAAGTTGTTGAGGAGGTTCGACACCAGCCTGCATGTGGACCTACAGCAGCGCTCTTGTGAGTTTCTGGAGCTGCTCAGCTCTGAGTGGGACTCTCATCGGGCAGGTATCCTGGACCGAATGCCTGTGCCAGAGCGAGAAATTGGTGGAGCTGAAAGCAGAGATGTAGGCGACTCCTCGATAGACGAAGTGCCTTCTGGTGGTGGCGCTAGAGCCCCTCCAGCTGGGGGCAAGGACTTGCTTGACTTGAACGACCTGCTTGATGCTCCGGCATCGCAGCCTTCAGGACCGGCGCCGGTCGCCCCTGCAAGCGTCGGAGGAGGCGGAGGAGGAGGAGCGGGAGATCTTCTAGATTTGCTGGACGGAGGAGGAGGAGGGGGAGCGGCAGCTCCTGCTCCAGGACCAGCTGGAGGCGGAGATCTTGGCTTACTTGACATCTTCGGCGGTGAGTCGGAGCCTGCTCCTCCGGCGGCGGCCCAAGAGGCTCCGCCCATGGTGGCCTTCGAGAAGAATGGCTTAAAAGTGACCTTCTTCCCGCGCAAAGAGGCGGACGGCTCTTCGACAATTCTGGCCAAGTTCTCCAATTCGTTGAACGTGCCAATGACCAACTTTCACTTTGAGGCTGCTGTGCCGAAGTATTGTGCCTTGAACATGCAGACAGCAACAGGGCAGGTTCTGCCACCCCAGACGGACTTGGTCACACAAACCATGAACTGTGTGAATTCATCAAACGGCGAGAAGGGCCTGATCATGAAGCTTAGGATTGGATATGTGTGCAATGGCACTCCCGTGCAGGAGATGGGTCAAGTCGGAGGTTTTCCTCCGGGCTACTGACAAATCTCAGTACTGCTCACATCGCTGCGGAATGAGTTGAACGAGGTGATGGAAAAAGTGCGCTGCTTGATGGGCATCCACCATGCTTCTGAAGCGCTTCGTGCACATGCATCTTCAGACATTCTGCGTGTTCAACACATTCGGCTCAGGTGCAGTGGCGCTGTTGCACACTTTCTGGCACTCCGAAGACCGAGTCCAACTGGCAGGTGTCGCACCTGGATTCCCCCGCTTGAACTCTGCACGTAGGACTCCATCAGCATGACTTCCGGACTTCATCAGCATGAGACCACAGCAGCGGATTTGCGTGAATACCCAAGCCCTGCCGTGCGACCCGTCGCCTCTATCTGCCGAGGTGCTCCCTGTCATCAGCGTAAGCGACTGCACCATCGACAAGCTGACCTGGGGTCCCGGGGAAAGCCTCGTCCATGTCAGGAGAACACGGGGTTACATCGAAGTCCCGGGAGTCGGAGGTTTCAGCACTCCCCACGCTCCCCGGCACTGTCAGGACAGATCGCCAGAGCGTCATTCTCTCCGAGGCATGGTCGACCGTCGACCTCATCCCGCCCAAGCAGCCTCCTTTTGATTTTGGAGTGGTGTCTGCAGGCCCAGCTCAACACCGCCTTCCAAGCACCTATCATGGCGGTTCAAACAGCCCCGGCGGAGGCAGGGAACCTATAGTGGAGGGAAGTCTTGGACTCCTTGGCCGCCGTTTTGCAGATCATGGTCTATCACACGGAGAAGCAGATGCAGATTGGCCTAAGCTCGCCCTTCCGCGTCAAGGCCGGCTGATCTATCGAAAAGCTGACATGACAGGGATACTTCTGTGGTGTTGGCCGATTCTGCTCAGGGTGTCAGCGTGGGCGGAAGCACGATTCTCCTGTGGAACAGCAAGCAGGCGAGAGATTTGGCACAGGCACATCTGAACAAGAGAACGACGGAGATAGCTGATCCTCTGCAGATCATGCTGTACGACGTCGATGTCACAATGCAAGCCTCGGTGCCTCTGGCATCTTGAAGCATGTGCTCTGCTTGCTGAAAGAAAAAGAGTCGAAGAAGGCGATCAAGTGGGTGGAGCGCGTTTTTTCCAAAAGCATGGCGAAGCGTTTTGCGGTGGAGGTGCTCTGGATTGCTTGATGTGGTGATGTTGATGTGAGCTTGTCTCTCAGGCTGTCGTGAGGTTGCTTGCCAGAAGTTTTCATGACTTTGGCTGGCTCTTGGTTTGTTGTGTGGTTGCATGTTTGCTTGCTATTGCTAACTGCTTTTTCGCTCTTAAATGAGTTGAACAAATGTGTCAACGCAGTTCTTGAATCGGCAAGTGTAATGGGGGAAGTATTGCAAGCGAAGGGAAGAATAGAATTGGTCTTGTAGAAGGGTTAACAGGAAAGCTGAAGGCTTCATGGACAAATGTAGGTATATGTAAGCTGATTCATGAGAGGGCTTGCAGCATGTTTTATGGAAGGGTTTATGGGAGGGTTTGTAGAAGGATTTATAGAAAGGCGTACCAGGAAGGATGTAGTAGGGGCTCTAGACGGGTTGATAGAAGGGTATATGGTGGGTTTATAGTCGAGGGGCGGCGTCAATGGATGGCTGGCTGGATGGATGGATGGACGGACGGAGGGATGGATGGATGGATGGATGGATGGATGAGATGATGTTCGGGGTCACCTCACCGCTCAAAGCTATTTTCCGGAAACTCATGCTGCAGTTTTTGCTTTTGTGTATTACTTAGGGTTTAGGATTTAGGGTCTTGAGAGGTGGAGCCCGATAAAAGAAAGAGATACTTCTGGCCCCAGTCTTCGTGTTTCACCGCTGGGTGTGCTGAAGGCCTTGACCACCTTCTCTCTGAAACCTATCTGGAGCCTGCTTAGAATCAGAGGACCGGAGGTAAACAACAGCAGAAGAGAGGAGACGTTCGGCGACAGTCTGAGCCTGAACAGAACGAGCAGCAGCCAGGTCTTGAGTCAGTTCACTCGATCCTACGACATCGTGGCTGCGGCCCTCTTCTGCCAAAGCCGTGGCCTTGAGATGCCTTGAGACAGTCCGGGAGGTTGTGATCCTGGCTCAACGTGCAGCTTTAGGCCATGATCGCGTGGTGGCCATGGCCAGTGGCGCGAAAATCGAATTCGCAAACAAGCAAGGCGGACCTGATAATGATATTCCGGCTTTAAGGATGTGTCCAAGGCTCGGTTTCGGGGTTTCCACATTTTCCCAGGTCACGTGCAGAAAACGATCCAGTTCTCTGAGGAGGCTCGGAACCAAAGTTGCATGCGTGGCTGCGACACTTGAAGCTGCAGGTGGAAGGCTTTCCTACTTGCCTGGATGTCTGCGGTGATTTCTTGGTGGCGTCCACCTCTCTAAACTTCATCAAGGCCAGGCTCCCAGCCTTGTGGAGCCGGAGGCTTTTCAGATGTCCCCCAAGGTATGGAAGGTTTCCCAGGACAAGCCAAAGCCGATAGGTGCTCCGAGGCCCCGGGCAGCATCGCTGGTTAGTCTTGCTGTGCACCACAGTCTCCGGGCTGCGATGAGCTGTGTACTCGCCTTTCAGGAAGTTCGAAGGACTCGAGGAGCGGTCGCTCGGCGAAATCAGGCCAGGCCTGCAGGGATCGAACGTCGTCAGAGCGGGTCGCCATCCCGTGCTGTGCGGGTAGGTCAGTGCGCATCAACAAGACGGGAACTCGAGTGTCGATGCTCGTGGACCAGAGGCAAGACCGAGTTCTTTTCTTTCTTCTTGATCTGTTCAAGTTCAAGAATTAAGACTTCTGAGCAGGCTTGGTGCCAACGGCCAGCCAACAGAGGGCGGCGCCCTGCGGGTACCTGATGGACGCATGTTCGTGTACGACACGGACTCCGACAACTTCCTCACGCCTCTCAGCTGGAAAAGTCTTGCAACCAGGTCGTCGTCTGTCCAGTCTAACATGGCCGATGTTCCTGCTGCGCTGGTGCACATGGCCCATCCGAGCAATGAGTGGACTTGCTGTAATTACCGCAAGTCTTCTCAGGTACACGGTTGGCAAAAGTGGAGGGCTTGGTGGAAAAAGGCCCAGTTTCCGAGAGAAAGAGCCGAGCGGCTTGGGCTTAGGCAGTGTCCCCGTAGCTCACTTCTGGGACGCTTCGGACGGTCGGCTTCTGTGCTGTGAAGTCGCCCGGGCCTGGGAAAGCTTGCGGAGGGACCACAGAATCCAACAGCACTGTTGTGCCAATCATTCGCTCGACTATGTAAGGTGCCGCAGGCCCTCGCGTACGACGGAGAGGACCGTTACGAGAGAGCCCTCTTTTTCGCTGCAATGCAGTTGTGGCCTCGCTGCAGGCACAGCCTCCCGGGAGTCCCACAGCCGGGGGCACCCGAGAGGAGGACGAGGTCTGTTGTTCGGGGCTTCCCAGTTCAGCTTGCTTCCTTCGAAGCCGCGTCAGGCCAAGAACCAGCCACAGCATTGTGCGATGACCTTGTTCGTCGCGAACTCCGAACAAATCCACCTGCAGGCAAGTAGTGTGTTGTATAGTTCTGTGTGTATTGTCAGCAGAGGTCAGCATCGCACTTTTCTTCTACCGGTCTTAGAGGACAGCATTCCCTGCGTGGATCCGGACCACAGCGTCACTCAGATGCCTGTGGCGCTGATGGTGCCACGCCCTCAGAAAGCCAACCGATGGAGCCAAAACTTGATGGGCAACGCCGTAGGCATAAGCCAAGTGTAGAGCAGCAGTTTGAGCTGCCAGGTAGTGCTTCGATCATCCCCATTGTGTCCCATCTCCATTTCGCCCCGAAGCGCAATCCTAAAGACTTGGGGTGTGGTCTGTGTTGAAGCAAGCGCAGAAGCAGCTTCGATTCGTTTAATCATTTCACGTCCTTTGGGCGTGAGGTGTGTATGCAGCCAAGTGGCTCCAACCAACTGCCTGGCTGTACTGTCACCGAGGGTACTGAACCGAAGTGATGCCCTGGTTTGCTGTGCTGTTGTTGGCTGTCGACGCACCCTGTGTCGCGGTTGGGGCCTGCGCTTGAAATTCAAAGGAAAATGTTACGAGTTACCAGTAGAAGCATTGAGAGTACTAGTAGGAGTAGCAGCAATGACCATAACAACAACGACAACACTGCAGGCTAGTAGTCTTGGTCTTAGTTCCAATATTCTAAATCGCCTTTGTTTTAGCTTGGCGAAAGCGGCCAGGTTTTTTTTGTTTCAAAGGTGGGAGGTCCTCCCGTGTTTTGATCCTCTACTTGCCGGTTCATGGGTAGTTAAACGTTATAAGTGGGATTATAGGTAGGATAACTATAATTAGCTATAACCCAGTTATACAGGGGACATAGAACCCACTTACTACTACCCATGAACCTCCAAGTACCCTCTTTCACCTCTTGCTGTACGTCGTTTACGTGGCAATCTGCTGGGGAACCCCCACTTGCAGGGCCTGTTTTGTGGCAGGTTATTGGGGAGGCCAATTTACGGGGTCTCTGCTGCCACCTGCTATTTTGAGAACTCCAAGTTACAGGGGTCGTGTGTTGGGCCAAGCTTCAAGAAAGCAGCAGCACTGGATATTGACAAGAGCAGTCGGAGTAATGGCAAGAATTATCGTCATCATCGTCCCCTTAGCACATCATGATCGCTCCGAAGCTGCCTCAGAGGCCTCACGTCTACTTTGCCCGGCAAGGGGAGGCAGCCGCAGAGACTTCTCCGGAGGAGTGCATTGGAGATGTCCAGAGCGGAATACTTCGGAACGCGGGTACCCTGGGCCCTTCGGAGTGCTTCGCAAGGAGCCAGCCGCTTCTTTGATCAGCCGGACGGTGCTTAGAGACTTTGCTGGTCTGGAGAACATGGACGAAGAGACCACCGCGGCACGATTCCCAGTCTCTTCGGACACCGACAAGCAATCGGCTCATGTTGGCCGTCACTCGCAGGCTATGCTCAACTTCTCGTACCACCTGGCCTGTGGAAACACGGATGAGGTGCCAGAATACTGCTGCCAGACGTTTCCCGTTCGCCTCACATATTCAGAGTATTGCCAGATATCTGCACTTCTCTTGGTAACATGCAGAGCCATGTCCAATTTTTGTGACGTCCTGCAGGCATACAAGAGCGTGAAAGGTGTGCGCTCCACAGGGGTCTGGGAGAGCATGTCCAAGATGTGCGTAGCTTGGCTGCATCTTACGTTTCAGCTTGAAGGAGCTCGTTCTTTTTTGATGTGCTCTTGGTGCATGAGCTGACAAGGACACAAGGCCAAAACAACAACCACACAATCTGCTAAAGCTTGCTAGTGAGCGAACGTCTCGGCATGCTCAAAACTCACACAAGTCGCAAAACTTTTGTAAGAATGATGATATGCATGGTAGGTAGTGTGGCTACTGAGAGACTTATGCTGATGGTAGGGGTGAATCAGCCAAGATGATATTCGCCATGACAAGAATGCAGTGGCGACAGCGATGACACCAAGGGCAATCATGATATGGATGACTACGAGAGTGGTGGCATTCACTGTAGGCAGCAACGGCACTTACATACAATGCAGGCTGAACGTGGGTGATGATGGCGATTCTGATGGCGAGGATGCTGGTGACATTGATAAGCGTGGTGTTGGTCAGGAAGAAGGAAATGATGAATGCGAACAAGATATGTGTGCAATATCGAACGGATGATGGTGATGATCATGATGTTGACATATATTGACGGTCAGGAGGATAATGATGCCGAAGCCTCGGTGGAGATGATGCTGCTGCCGTGGCTGCTCTTGTTGCTGTTGCAGTTTGCCATGATGTTGATGACGACGACGACGAGGATGATGATGATTGTGATGGTGATGGTGATGATGACGATGATGACAACAATGCTTCTCATGCCGATGATCGACACCCTCTTTTACATATGGGGTATTAGTTCCTGCTGGCTGCGGTAAGTCTACTTGCCTCTGTGAGTGCTGAGGTGAAGACAGGCCGTTTGGATGCCGCTCGGCTGCACTTCGATTTCTCTTGCTTGGGGGTCTTGGCTCAAAGGGCTGTGAGGCACTGGAGGTCTCCTGGACTTACGACTTATGTAGGCTCCTCTTGGCTTGGGTTAGCTTGATTGAGGGATCATGCGAAGCCTTCGGCCTTGTGTCTAAGCTTCCAGGTCGGGGTGTTGAAGACAAGGTGCTACTGGGTAACTGCCCATATCTGCACACTTAAATCGACGAGCAAAGCCCCTCAAACCTGTGCAACAGTAATTCAAAGGCCCCGAGCAAGCCGAATTTGCTGCAAGTGATACTCCCTAGATGACTCGCATGCTGAATGCCGTTTCCCGCAAATTCCCGAGCACAAGCCGCAACCCCAAGAGAAGCCCCGCAGAGAGGTGGCCCAGAAGTGCTTGGGGCAGATGGGCCACGCCCGTGCAGCTGGGGCGCTCCGTGCTTGCTTGGAACAGGAGCCCGAGGCCGCAGAGAGCAGATCTGACCAGCGAAAGCAATCTCGGAATTTGGCAGCCTGGGACTGGGAATGCAGATGCCTTTTAGAAGACCTGAGGGCAGATGCGAGCCTGGCGAGCCTAGTCTTGTGCAGCAGTTGGGGGCAGTGCATCAGAGCAGTTGGGTCTGGTTACATATGGCAGATGTGGAGTCGAACTGTCAGGCACGATTAGCAATCGTCGCCGTACACTTGGACATGGTCGACCATGCAGAACAGTTGCTGTCAGCCCGGCAGTGTTGAGACCCCTTTTGTTCGAGCAAATGCTGAACATGAAGTGTGATTCAATGTAGTTGCCAGGAAGAAGTGTGGAAGGTATGACCTGCTCAATCAGCTGTACCAGGCGGAAGAACGTAGTCACTCTCACAGTCGAAGCATCTGCGCGACTTGCGAGGCTTGTGGCTCGCCGCATGCTCGGATCACAAGAAGAATAAGAAAGCCAATAGCCATGCCAGCATTTTTTGTCGACCAGCCCATCATTCCTCAGGTGGGAGAAGGCCTTGGAGATTGCAAAGACCAAGGACCGCGACTCAAATCAGAAGGTTGCAAGACGCACTCGCACCAAGAGTCAAGAGCCAAGGATCGTATTCATCTCAAGCCGACCCACTTTGCATATGCGCAGCACTTGGAGGCTGTGGAGGCTAGCAGCCGACGTGCGGTTCGGATTCCGGTCGGTTCTGGCAGCTCAGATTGCCAGGACGTGCAAGGGGCGCTGACTCATTATGAGCTCTCCGGCACCTATCGCACCGAGTCCCCACGTCTGTCCGGGGCTTCGGTGGGAAGCGCCTCCCCAGCTCCCTCCTTGGTCCTAGCGACGCGCACAAGCGCGGAAGTCCTCAGGCTCTGCTCCATGGGCATGACGGAGGCTGACAAGCAGTCCGCGGCGAGGCGGCCAGATCAGGACAGGGGACTTGCAATGCCTTTTGAGGACCTCGGCAGCTACGTCGAGCAGAGCGATGACTCGCAGCTGCACAGATGGTGCCCACTTGCATGCCCAGTTGACCGGAGCTCCATGACATGAATCCTTTCAGTACATGGAAATGATCTGAGTGTGACGGCAGGTATGCTCAGTACTTGGAGTCAAAGGCGGATCTCGATGGCGCTTCGCGAGAATACAAGAAGGCAGCGTCCTTTCGTCCTCTGTGCAGCTTCCGCTCTCCGAGAGATCCTCCGATCCCCAAATGTCGCAAGGCCGGGGACTGGCTGAGCCTCTGCCGGGTCGCTTGCTTCAACGAGGCCCTGCATCCTTGGCTTTGAAGCTTCTCCTTTCCTCCTTTCCTGCGACCTGCGACCTCGTGCGGCGTTCCAGGATCTCGAAAGCGCACAAAGAATTTGCGAGGACTCGCAGGACTGAGCGGCATTCACGCAAGATTGCCCGGGCTTCCTCGGTTCTAGGCCTGGCTGTTTCCGCAGGACCAAGCAGCCTGCTACCACCTCGCAAGACATTTGGAGGCCAGGAATAGGTCGCGACGTCGCCGGTTAGGCACCTACCTAGGCCATGCTAGGCCACTCCACTTCCAAGCGAGGCCGGGGGCAGCTTCAAAGAGGCCATACACTACTTCCAGATGGCCGGACGAGTGGGGCATGCGCTGCGACTGGCCCAGGACTGGCAGTGTAGGTACCGGCCGTCGGGTCCACTCCACTTCGAATCACCATCTCTAGGAGAACAACTTCGATGGAGACCTGATGAGCCTGGCACTCTCTGCAGATCCTCAGAGCATGGCTCAGGCACTTAAGGGGAGATGATCATGCGCGCTGCTGCGCAGAATGCCTCGAGTATAGCTTAAATCCTGGAGCAGGCTGCCAAGTACTACGAGCAGCGTGGGCAGCCTCAGAAAGCAGCCACCACCTCGGCGTGCAGAGCATGGCTCGTCCTTGAGCCGCTTGAAGTCTAAAGGAGCTCCAAGAGCAGCGGAGAGGGCGAACAGCGGAGCCCCTGAGGTCATCCTCTACCAAAAGGCCGGCCAGCAAAAGAGGCCGCGGGCCCAGGGGAATCCAAGAGGTTCTCGGCTGGGAGCTCTGGGAGCTCTGAGATCCTTTCGAGCTGCAGGGCGCTGGAGCTCTGCTTCTCGGCGCGACTCTTTGATGCACTGCGCAAGATCGCAGATGATCTCAGTGCGGAGAGCGTGCAGGACTTAGCACCCGCTTATACACATGTCAAGTGCGAGTACTTGGCTTTATGCCTGTGTTGGACTTCTTTCCTTGCAAGCCTTCCTTTTTGCCATTGCCCGTCATTGTTGTCGCGCCGCAGCCTGCAGCCGCGTTGTGCTCAGTGATCTGAAACAGAGCGTGCACCCGTTACCAAGCAAGAGAAGCCTGTGTCTCAGTGTGCTTCATATGTGCACCGGCTAGAAAAAGGATGCTCGTGACGGCAGGGCGAGAATGGTGCATTATCCCGACGAGATCGAATATTCGGAGAGGTATCAGGAGAAAGTGCTTTGTTTTATCTCAAGCATTGGCGTTGCCCGTGCGATTTGCTCGTTGACCGTACACTTTGCAGGATGACAGATATGAGTACCGCCACGTAATCTTGAACAAGCAGGCTGCGAAGGAGCCATGCCAGTAGCCTAAGTCGGTGGAGGATGTCGACGATACTTGATCACATACGGCTTCTACCAGCGCCCCTCTTGCAGGAAGTCTTCAAAATGACCGGGGGCGGCAAGCGTAGGGCGCTCGGCATTTCTTGTCACAAGGCCGCTTGCCTCGCATAGAAACTTCAGGCTTTCTTCACGAGGATGAGTGGCGGGGCGCAGCTCTGCCGCATATCGTGCCAGCCGCCACTGAAGCCATGGGATCTTGCTGCGACGAAGGTGGGAGTACAGCAGAGCCGCGGATGGGTCCATTACGAGTTCCACCGCCCTGAGCCGCACATTTTGCTTTTCAGGCTGGTCTCGTCTTCGGAAGACGGTTCCCGATAATTCTGTGCAAACTTGCCAGGCGTCCCGTGGGGACGGATCCAGTCACAGGGCGGCCCCCTGCCGCAACAGCTGCCGCAGCCTGATGCCGATGTGAGAGCGTCATAGTCCGTCTTCGGTGCGCAGATGGAAATGCCAACGTTTATTCACAACTGTCCCATGCAGATGCCGGCCAAAGACCGCAGCATGCAGCGGCATGAACTTGTTTTACGAGCTGCCGAAGACGTCAAATTCGCCATCGGCCTGCTAAACTGCAAGACCATCGCCGGCAGCTCTTTGCTGTGTTAGTTTGGTCTTGTAGTTTGAACTTTCCGAGCGAATTTCTCAGGGGAACATGGAAATTCGTTTGTTGCCAATTCATGTGCGGATAACCGCAGATTCTAGAAGAAGCACGACGCATCTGTGGACTTTGCCGCAGGGAGTGTTGCGCTGTCACGCTTAGCTGTGCACCCGATTGTAGAGCTCCGTAGAGTTTCATATTGAACGATCAGAAGCCAAAGCACAGAGGAAATACGCCACGAGCCTCCTCCCTCCTCTCTCGAAGCCCCCCCCCCGTCCCTCAAAAAAGTAAGGCCAACCCCTGGCTCCAAAATCGCTTAGCTCCTGCCGTGTCTCTACATCGGAAGCCGGGCCCCAGGCTTGGGTTCCCAACTGGTTCCACTGGTGGACCTTTTCGTTGGGTTCGGCCTTGCTGGAGCTTTCTTCTTTTCATCGACCAGCGCTGGCCGTGAAAAAGTCGAGTTGCAGCTTGCGAAGCTTGCGACCTGTGCCGGGCTGCTACAATCCTTCTGACTGGTTCTGCTGGTGCTGAGGATCCAGCCATACTTGCGAAATGTGGATGCCCAAGAACCTTTGCTCCTGGTAATTATCAGATCTGCGCATCTACGCCTGAAGGCGCGGAGTTCTTCATGCAGCACGAGCAGCACGACAAAGCGGTCCACCTGTCTCAGACCCGGATGGGAGGTAAAGCTCAGCACTAAACGTGTGAACGTAACGTTTAGCGCTGTGAAGGCTGTCTATCTCCAAGCAGTATGACCGAGCGGTGCAGCTTCTTGGCATCACTTCGTTGATACACACTCTTTCCTCATGCTCATGCACTGATAGAACACCTGCCAGGCTTTGCACAGAGCACGACGTCCACATCACTGAGGCCTTGCTGCCCACTCGACGACCCATTGTAAGTTGATAATGCCAGCCTTTAGTTACTGTACCTAGTTTGCTTCTTTGTGGCTTGTTATTGTTAGTACTGGAGCATGGTACCTGCCCAATCGATTGTCGACAAGTTCCAGGACATGGCAGAGCGGATGACCCCGGACAAAGGAAGCCGCGAGCTTAGGTTGACGAAATTGTTGTTTTCCAAAGAGCCAGCCGTCCTTCTAAGTGCACTTGCCGAAGGTATGGACGCGACTTCCAGGTCAGAGATTTTGCAGGAGCCCGCGCTTTGTCCCATGCCCGTGTCTGCGGAGCATTCCCCTCACCCTAACGCACGCTTGTTTGCGTAGAAGTGGCAGAAGCAGGAAAGTTCGCTGGTCCTTGCGAAACATGCCTTGTCTAGAGGACATTGGCAAGCTCTGCAAGAAGCAGGGGTCCTTCCAGCTTGCCTGCAAAAAGTTCACACAGGCCCAGCCGCGAGCAATACGCAAGTTGAAGCTGTGCTTCCACTGTTTGGTGATGTGAGGCTGGCGACAAGCTCAAGGCGAGACATGTCCTGGACATGGCCTTACCACTTCCGTGCACAACAAGCATCGTGTGAAAGGCGATGAAGAGTTTGCTCAACAGTGGTGACACGGAGAAGATCATCTTCTTTGCTGGCACTGCGCGGCAGCGCCAATCTCAGCTGATTCTTGGTTTACGGCCGGTCAAGACGGTTCGAAAACCACAGGCCTTTGCATGTAGCTCGCTGGGCAAGGCCAGACATCTACGTCTTGGCAGGGTGCGCTCTGATCAGCTGTGTGCCATCAACAAGAAAAAGGGGACTTCGTGTCAAGTGATCTCCTGAACCTGCATCTTGAGGAACTACTTGCAGAGCCTGGACTGTGGGGAACTGAAGTCTTTTCTTGAAGCCTCGTCCGGATTGGGCGGCGTCCAGCCCAGAGACATAGTTCAGCCCCACATCTCAGGGCATGCTGATCCGGACATCATGAAGCAACTCGGTTGAACTGTCCAGACTTGTTTGCAGCATCCTGACTGCTCTGCGAACCCAAGGAATATCATTCAGTTCTACAGCAAAGCCAAGGTGGGACACCGCATCTCAGATTGCTGCCTGTCCTTGCAAAAAAAGGGGATGAGATCTTGGCCAGTCTACAGCCAGGCCTACGACAAGTTGGCGTCCTTCTACGATGCCTGTGCTCAGGCGACAAGATGCAACAGCTGTGTCCCTAGTGGCGACAAGGAGGGTATTTTCATTGGTGGGATAGGTAGTAGTACAGCCTCTGACACTGTGAACCGTGTGTGACAAATTCGTTGAAGCTCGATTCGAGACTTGGCCTTGATTTAACTAGGTCGGGCTTTTGGACATTTCATGTTTGCTCTTATTGCGCTTAAGAGGATCTTGCCTACTAATATTTTTCAAAGGCTTTAAAAGCACCTGCTGGTTTAGGCATTGGCGATTTCAGAACAACAGCCAACCCAAGCACCGAGACTTCAAGGTTTCAAAGCCAACTAGGGTTTGCGGCTTGGTGCTTCGAAATGCTATGAGGGCAGGCAGGAGGGTTGAGGGCGTTTACGCTCAAGCTTTTTTAGGGTTTAGTTTAGGATCTAGGGGTTTGGGGTTCGTTCGCACCTTTATCTCCTTATCATATGACACGATCCTGTGCGTGAAGTCTCGGACATGCGAATTCGGTTTGCACATGCGCGAATCCCGGCTATGCGAATGTCGCCCCCTCCGTCACGAATCTACAGCCGCGCCAATTTCCTTGTCAGAGCGCTGACTGGTTCCCTGTGCGCAAATCCGACATTGGTGCCCGAATCCGGGCGTGCGCAAAGCAGCCGAGCGATGCGCGAGTCGGTTCTTCCAGTTCGCCAGAAGGTTGCTTACCAGGCTAGCGATGGTCTGATCTGCCACGATCACGAAGTTTCGGCTATAATCGTCAACCGTACATCACCCTTTGCTGCCGCCTAGACGACACCTCAACCTTGTCAAGGATTCTCAGAAGCTCCCAATGGCCCTGGCACAGGTAGAGATTGACGAGTACAGAGACTACGAGAAGGCTGGAGGTGCGCTTCGAGAGGCCTTGAAGTACATGGCCAAGGTCGGGAGCCCAGCAGGCAGCTTCCATGTCCGCATCGTCTCAGTCGTCTGCGTCTGGTCGGTCGGAGGGGCTTGCTGAGGCTGCTGGCGACACTGCAGAAAGCGACGAGCGAGCGCTGCCGTCGGAATTTACCTCCTCGCCTCTGCTCTCGGGATTAAGGGAAGAAGGATGAAGCCGGGCAACGCTTCTGGAGCGCAACCCGCACGGCCTTCCGACGCCAGGTGATATCTCTGCAGAGTCGGATCGCTCTTGTCGATGAGTTTGCAGGCGTGAGGCCGGGTATTCCCTTTGATGTGTACGCCATTTTAAAGCAACAGCGCGATATATTATACACTCGGCATGAGCAAGTGCTGTGTGCAGGTGATGTACTAGGAAGCTCTACTGGCAAGCCAGCCCTGAGCGATGACCCTGTATACATCATGCAGGAGTCGCACAACTTAGCGTGTTGATGTGCACAATCATGCGGGCGTGTTCGCACGCACACACACACACACAGACCCGCACACAAACGCTCGCGAAGAGAACACAGGAACATACCAGTTTTGATAGAGTAGAAAGAGTCAGCATCAGTAGGCTGTAGTTTCGTGATGGTCAGCTCCATCCAGATTCAAGCGGAGGAAAATGGCCAAAACCGAACCAGATCAAATGGTTGCGGTGCCAAAGCTCAGTTTGACCTACTGGGCTTCCTCGGTTGTCGTGTGAGAGTTTCCGAGGTCTGTGAGAGGATGGTGAGCACGCCAAACATAGACAGCGCTGTCCCGCACCCAACAAAGCTGTTCCGTGCTGTGCCGCTTGTAATAGAGTGATCCTAGAAAGGTCAGAACTGGCGACATTTTCGCACAGCTTGTGGAGTACTACACTGACTTCAATGATTACAACTCTGCATACAGGCGGGAGTACGTGCCAGTCTTTCGTTTGCACTTTTGTTGGTCCGCAGCATCTGCAGACAGCTTTCTTGGCAGGACGGTGGAGCGAATGAGAGAGCACGGCATTGTGCTCACACCGTACCTGGACAGGGCCCTGCTCGAACGCATCTACGGCCCCTCGCATGCAGACTGGCGATCATAGTATAGTATAATCTAGTATACTATAGTATAGAATAACAGAGTCTAGTTCGTGAAATCCGCTGTGCCGTCCAGGTGCTGTTGGACAGCCACTGCCCGAGTCGGAAGCAGCTCCTGCTGCGCCCGCGGTGAACTGAGACATCACACCCCAGGTTGTCAACACTTGAGCAAGACTACAATACGTGTCCTTTGCGATCGCTGATCATTATCAGACCTGGTATCCCAAGGTGCACATAGTATCTCGTAGTAGTGTTTCCGTACCAAGCCCGTCCGTTCGCGACACATGCGTCTCTGTCTGCAGCACGAGCTGATGCCGTGCTTCTCAGGCCGCCGATGGCGAGGACGTGGATGAGGACATCGCGGAGGAAGATTGATCCCGCAGCCGGTCTCCGCATCTTGCCCCAGCTCCTCCAACACGGAGTCGATGCTTGTAAATGCAATGTGGGCGATGCAGACATGTCCGTGCTATTTACTACAACGTGGTCTTGTGTCTGCTCGCAAATGTCTCACCGATCTGTCACCTCGCGGACAGCGGCCGCTCAAATTGCGAGGCATTGAATAAAGTCTTTATGGCTGAGGTCCATGCGAGTCGGAAAGTGACTGGGAAACTCCAGTCCTTCCAAGTCGTAGCTCGGAGTCAAGGCCTCAAGCTTCGCATGTCTCAGCGATGTTCGGATAGTCGGAGTGGTGCAGAAACTTGGGCCTTGCGGCATTTGTGGCTCAGCCGCCGAATTCATACACGACGGCAGCTCAAGCCGCCACAATGTGTCCAGCTTCGCAGCCAGTTGGAGGATTCATTACTTTGCAAATCTTTCCAGGATGAGTCTGCAGCTCTACAGAGCAGCAGAGACCGATGCTGCGGGCGAGAATGCAGATGTGCATGGAAGAAAAGAAGAGTCTAAACAAGAGGAGTTACGGTGAAATAGATTTCGAGGAGACCCTAAGAGGGCTCTGGGCCTGAGCTGTGAGGCTGCTGGCTACGGAGCGAGGATGGCGAGCGGATCTCTGGAGCTGACCTTCAGGTGTCCAGAGGTCGCAAGAGCAAAGCAGAGCTGCTGAGTGGCGCTGTGCCGCAGGTGCCTTTCGAAGGGCTGGAGTTGTTCCACGAGGCTCCGTTGCTTCAGACTCTCCGGGCCTGCGGGGGTGGGCGTGAGAGGTCTTACCTGGAGGAGAGGACACGGAGATGGAGATCCTGGCGCAGCTCCAGGCAGCGTCGGAGTAGCGCGAACGAGTGGATCGTCTCACTACAGAGGCCTGGCCCTGGCAGCCGTCGCAGAGTGGGCGGTGGAAGCAGGACAGGTCGACAGGCCGACTGGCTTTCTTCTTGCAAGCAAAGACTTCCCGCTTGCCAGGACTTCGGCCCAAAGGCCAACTTCAAGAAGCAGCAGGTCAAGGCCAGGCGGCCAGGCGGCCAGGCCAGGTGAGGCCCGTCACCGCCCTTCTCGCGGCTTCTTGGAAGGTTCCGGAGACCTGGAAGGGCTTCCCATCCTGGTCGCACCAGCTCCTGTCGAACCTGCTTTGCAGCCCCTCAGCTTCAGCTCGGCTTCAGCCCGGCTCCACGACACAGAGACGAGCGCTCTTGTGAGCCACCTCAGGATCAGAAACTCTGCAGAGTTGTGATCTCAGAGTACATTGTACATCAACGAAGGGCCTCCAGATCGCCGTGCATGGGGCTGAGGCTTTGAGGCAGTAGAATGCCTCTCCTTGTGGTGACCCACTTGAAGCGAGGTTCTGTAATGAACGTAATCGCTATCATGGTTTGCACGGGTCTTCTTCCCGATTCAGACATGAGTTGACGACTGTTAGCAAGCAGTTAGTCAAACCTGGCTTCAAGCTTGGAAAGGATATTTGGAGTCCTGACCGTGCAGGTACGATGCAGACCGCGGAGCTAATCATGCCTTGCATGCAGCTTTGTGGCACTAGCTGTAGCTGCTTGTCAGTAGCACGAGATGGGAAATCCAGGTAAGTTCTTTCTCGTAGCTGCTGTATAACCTCAAGCCAAGGTAGATGACTTGTGGCTGTGGGGGGACAGAATCCTTGGCGTGTCGATGCAGAGTGCGTCGGTCTGCTACCAAGAGGGTGGAGACTTCAGGCTTGGGATTCAGGCTTCACGTTCGGGTGCAACATGCCTTTTTGTGACGACATCTGTCTAGCTTTCCATCCTGACACCTTGCAAGGTTTTCACATTTTATGACCCAGTGAACCAGGCCCGCCAGAGACAAAGTCATCAGACACTGCGACACACAGAGCTTGCCACGCAGAGGTGGTGGTCAGAGTCCCACTGCCGAGACGGTCTGCGTGCGCAGTGCAGCCGGATGATGGTTAGCTCTTGATGCGGTGTTGAGAGGCTGCGTCCCATGCAGGTACTTGATCAGCGGGCGGGTGCGTGTCGACTGGCAACATGGGCTCCTGGCAGAGGAGACCTACATCGGTTTTAGTCGTTTTAGTTTTGCTAAGGCAGACAACTGCTTGCACTCCACAACGGTGTGAAGGACATTTCGGGACCTCGTGTTGCAATCACTTTCCGCGAACTGACAGAGGCGGGGCGATGTATAGTAGGAGTTTTCAACCATTCTCCATCTGCATCTCTGTGAGGCGGTTGCAAGCAGCGAGCTTGGTCAACTGGCCCTCGAGCGAGCAAAGCTTGTGGCGTGGACAGCTGAGACATTTGGCTGCTTTGTTTGGAAGATCGTTACCTTTTGTTTAGAGTGCTCCCTGAAAGCTCCTCGCATGGCAGGTGCAGACCTGAGGACGATTCTGAGAGCCGGACCGACTGCTTGCCAGAATCAGGAAAAAGGTAGACAAGTCATGGGTCTGACGGCTTGCTCTGGGAGCAAATGCCGCCGCTTCTGATCACCTCACAACCGGTGCAGCACCTCCCCTCGTTGTGCCCCATCACCTTGCCAAAGCAACTTTCGACAAGCGGCACACGGCTGCGAGTGCTGGACGATCTAGATGGCGCTGCAAAACGAATATGATATGAATTGAATGTGTATCGTAACAAGGCATGTCGGAAACAAGGGTTATTTTCTCTTGGACTCCGGCAGTTTGCTGATCTGTCGAATCTTGCACCAGCACCAGCACCAGCAGCACCCGCAAAAGCACGCGCACCGGCACGACCACCAGCACGCGCACCAGCAGGCGCACCAGCAGGCGCACCAGCACGCGCACCAGCACGCGCAGCAGCACACGCACCAGAACACGCACCAGCACACCCACCAGCACCCACACCAGCACCCGCACCCGCAGCATACATTGCGCGCGCAAACAGCGGACGTGCACCGCTAAACCCGATAAACCCGCTAAACCCGACAAACCCGCAAAACCCGCTAAACCCGATAAACCCGCTAAAGCCGATAAACCCGCTAAACCCGACAAACCCGCAAAACCCGCTAAACCCGATAAACCCTCGAGGAACCCGCTAAACCCGACAAACCCGACAAAGTAGAAATCAGGAGCGCCCCACCAGTCCAAGGACCCACCTTCGGAGTTCAAGATCTATAAGAGTTCTGATCTAAAAGTCGGATGCGCCCCATCAGTCCAAGGCCCCACCCTCGGAGGTCAAGATCTACAAGAGTTCTGATTCAAAAACCAGGGGGCTCCATCAGTCCAAGGCCCCACGCTCGGAGTTTAAGATCTATAGTGTTTTGTTTCAAAAATCAGGTGCGCCCCATCAGTCCAAGCCCCCACACCTTCGGAGCTCAGGATCTATAAGAGTTCTGATTCAATGACTCATGGCCTCCTAGTTTAAGACGACACCAAGCGATCTCTTCTTGCTCGTAGCCCTTTTCGTGTCAAGGATGTCTGAAGCTAGTGTTTGCACATTCTGTACTGTAAGCTGTGTGGAACTTCAACCGCTCCAGGGTGGGGGTGCTTCGTGTGGACTCTGTCGAGCCCTTGATCGGATTAAGGGCGTATGCTGGCGTTTGGGGCGCAACAACGATCCACACAGTCCTGCAGTCCTTAGGGAAACTGAGGGGCGGCTCCGCGATTGGATAGGTTTCTCAGGTCCACCTCCTCATGAAATTCCGGGTTACCGGCCCGAGCCCCCAGGCGGATTGGTCAGGTCTCTTATGCCTGCCAGGCCTAAAGCGACTCCCAAGTCAAATGCTGCTTCATCTGTTGCGGAGCCTGTCCCTAGTAGAAGTAGATCCGAGGGTAGGTCTCGTTCGCCGCCATTTGCAACCGGTGCTGGGGAAGGGACTGATCGTCCGAAGAGGCGCAAGGCGAACAAAGCTACTCAGCGGGCTGTTTGGCAAGACGTGCGGTATCACTTTTGTCATTCGCGGAATCGGCCGAGTATTGAGCCAGAAGAGTTTCGTAACGAAGACGAGAGCGACATTAATTGACGACGAGGACTGAAACAGCAGGGTTTTGAAACTTGAGTTGGAGTGGTTTATGTCTCGATCAGGAATTCTCAAAAGGCCGGGAGCTGTTCGTTCGAGGTCTCGTCGTCGAACCCCGTCTCCTGTCTTGGGAGTTGCGGGTAAGTCTAGGCGCTTCTACGACTACAAAGGACGTTTGGCCAAGGGCCAAGCGCTGCCAATCGCGACTATTCCTCAGAGCTTTTGGGAATTCGGTGAGAGGTATTTATTCTCTGGCGATTATTGGGGAAAGCAATGTCAAGTTATCGGAGTGTTGGAGTGCCTGACGGTGGGAAGAGGGGGTATTCATGCGAACCTTATTCTGGAAGGAACCGACAACCAGGACATGTTGAAGTGGGCAGAGGGTTTGATACAGACAGGTTATCCTCCAGAGATCGCCGTTCACCTTTGTCCCGCAAACTGTCCCAAAGCTCCGGTTTCAACAGGAGGTCTGCATGGTCAGTGTGTCAGCCGCGAAGACAAGGGAGTAGCTTGGTACGGGAACGTCGCGTCGATACCCCGAGAGAGCAACCAAGGAGAGATAGCAAAGGAGTTATCGAATCTTTCCAAAGGGCGAAGCGCTTCGGGCGGGATAGACCCTCCAGGAGCGCTTGCCCCGACCCAGGAGAATTCAGGAGAGGACGATGTGAATCGAAAGACGGGGGGAGCAACCTTCAAAGGAACGCCACTGGACAAGGGGACAACGGTACGCTGGTGGTTGAGGACTCGGGGGAAGAAGAAGAAGAAGAGCAAGAAATCCCACAAGAAATCTCGGAAGAGGAGCACCTCGAGCAGCCACAGCAGCAGCAGCAACAGCAGTTCAGAAGGATCGATAAATTCCCAAGACTCGAGTCACCCATTTCGAGAAGGCCCTCGGATCAAGCAGCTAGCAAGACGAGCACCAGGAGTTCTGACGAGGCATGCTGTCGCAGAGGTGGAGCGCCTGCTGGCGCAAGGAGTTGGAGACAATCAGACCGTAGGCTTGGTGCCAGTCATGTTGAGGTATCTGA